CTAAATATTCCAAATAATGTGTAACATAATCATGTTTCTAATGGATGATAACCCCATAGCTTACCTTAGCTCCAACTTTTCCATCAATTTCTGAAGGGTATTTATATTTGTAGAAACCACAGGGTGCGTTGGAAACGAACTGCACTTTTAGTTCTGAGCCACAGTGTTCGGAGACTATCCTTTCAGCAGTCTGGAATTATAAATAAATATTAGTTAGAAGGGATAATACAAGCAGACATTTTTAAAATATACGAGAAATTGCGTTTTTTATTGTATCTGTTACAGTCAAACACATAATCAGTCAAAACCACTTTTGACTGATTTTTGCAAAAGTGGTATTGACCAATTATGAGTTTTGTTGACTGTAACATAATTATGGATCATTAAGACTAAGATCTAAGTGAATAGGACCCAGCATTATAGGACTTTGTTTATGTTCATTTGTATTAAAGACCCTGACTGCTATATAATCACAGTATGAAGTGAGATAATGGACTTTATTTCAAAATTTTCCAGATTTTAAAAAGTTAGATTAATCCTTCAATTATGATGTACTCTGATTGATGCATCTGAATAAACACCTACCTGCCTCAAGGTTTCTCCCTGTGCCCATTTTCCTTGAGGCAACATATTTTTCTTGTCTTTACCAAGCTCGAGCTCAGTTACTAGAACCAAATGTCTTTGTAGGCACCTCTCTAGTGATGTTTTATCTCCTTTTTTGTCTGCTTCTGGAATTACAAGAAAATCTAGTCAATGCTCTGTGCAAAATAATAAAAATGTAACTTAAGTTTGCTACTGAGTAATAAATATTGATTGAAATTGCATTTTTTTTCTCTCTCTTTATTTGGGACAACAAATAGTTACATTGAGGGCTTATGTACTAAATCTTAACTTAAAAATTGAGTAACAAACCACTACCATTGACCACAGATAGGATCAATAGTAGTATAATGCAGAGCTAGATAATCCGACAAAATTAAACAACGTGTAAGTAGTGTTAGGGCTTATGTGAAAAAAATCATGTACCTGTTTCAATATCAGCAAACTTGAATTGTGCAAACTCTTCGTTAGCTGCATCTTCAAAGTCCTGGGCTGTGATCTTGCTTACTGCATCTAAGTCTACATCAATCGATTCATTTTTAATGAGTTCTGCTTGTATTCTGTAAGGAAAATAATAAATTTAATTGAGACATGAATAATGAGAGTAATGAATATTTCAGGTAGGCTCTAGGAGAGCCTCCAACTTTTAATTCTTTGATTTTTAAGCCCAAATATACATACAATAAGGACATCATAGCCCAGTCCATATTTCTTTTTCGCTTTTAAACCAAAAACTCTTTAGCATTTTTATTTCTAGACGTTTTTACCCGAGTCTAAATTCATATAATAAAAATAGCTAAAGACAGTACTAACTTATCATTGTCATGTCTAACTTCATGGTCAGACTTATAACTTTTCTCAACTTCCATGGCATACAACATTTCCTTGTATTTCTTTTGCATTTCATTTAGTGGTGGTGTCACCACTGGTAGCCTCTCAACACATACGCCAGTTACAATATCCCATGCAGGCTTGGAGCTCAAACCTGAAATTAGTATTTTAAAACTGAATTCTATTGGTTTCAGAGGTTATATTCATTCAGACTGAAACTGTAACTACCTTTAGCAAATGTACGCTGGCACAACCTTAACTCGGTTTGAAGTATCAATTTAAAGAACATGATTGTAGCTTTTTATTTCAATTAATTAGAATTTTGTGTATTTATACCTCAGATTTATACACTGCAAAACAATCAATAAATTTTAAGGTTATAATTTTGACAATCAATGACATTGACAGCTAACAGCTGACAACAGAAATAAGGCTGCCTATTCACATTTTAATACCGTTATTAAGGTAGTTACCANTTTTAATACTGGATTTGTCGATTAAATTGATCATATTATTGCGCCCTAACGGGTCGGACACTGGTGACCAGACACACTGTACAATTATTATAATTTTAGCCTATCTCTTGAGCTAAGTGTCAATAATTAGGGTGATTTACTAACTAACCAGTCGCATACGAACAACAGCAGTGAGATTCAAACAAGTTTGATCCATGATGCCGCACGACTATTGTGTGAGCCCACCCGTAACCCAAGCTTATTTAGCTTAACACAAGGGGCTGGACGGGACTATTAGTAATTTGTGCAATACAAAGTGCTTATACAGGGTGACTGGAACTGAACCCGCCATAGCTAATAGGCGTATAGAGGAGGTCATTTGCTAATTATTGAACCTTACTTTCTATGCCTAAAGTCTTATAGTTTAGGAGATATGTCAATTTTTATACTTTTTTCAGATTTTTCCGAAATTGGACCTAAAAACTGCTTCAATTTTTTTTCTCGCGTGATTTCAACAGTTTTTTTTTTTATTTGATAATAATATCGAATATGTCTTTATTCGAATAAAACAAATTTCTGATCCAGATAATGATTGAATAGCTAGTTACGAGCCGCCAAAGTTCAACAAAAGTATAAAACACGATAAAAAATTCTACTTCAAATTCGATTGAAACAAAAATTAATGGTGATAATGGTTTGCGAATAATCTTAAAAATATCTCCAGCTTCTCTTCTTTCCAATGATATATCACACGTTGTAATTGAATATTGAAATTTATCAAAAATTCAAAGTTTATGGAAGAAATGGAGTAATAATACAAAAATTATCCATACAAAGTTGATTTTGAATGTTTTTAATTTTTTTTTGTTTATAATGTAATTATTATTTTTAAATTCATTTAAAAAAAAACACGAAAATAGTTATGAAAAGGAGTATAGCAGAAAATATGAGTTGTTTGAAGAAACTTTGTATGGATAATTTTCGTAAATTACTCCACTTTCTTCCATAAACTTTGAATTTTTAATAAATTTCGATATCTAATTACTACATGTGATATGACATTGGAAAGAAGAGAAGGTAGAGGTATTTTTAAGATCATTGGCAATCCATTATCACCATTAGTTTTTTCTTAAATCGAAATCGAATTTGAATTTTTTATCGTGATTTGTACTTTTGTTGAACTTTGGCGGCTCGTAACTAGTTATTGAATCATTATCTAGATCTGAAATTTATTTTATTTGACTAAAGGTTTATTCGATATTAGTATCAAATAAAAAAATCGGTAAAAATAATGCGAGAAAAAAAATTTAAGCAGTTTTTAGGTCAAATTTCGGGAAAATCTGAAACATGTATAAAAATTGTCATATCTCCTAAACTATAAAACTTTAGTCATAGAAAGTAAGGTTCAATAATTAGCTAATGACCTCCTCTATACGCGTATTAGCTATGGCGGGTTCAGTTCCAGTCACCCTGTATACTTTTAAAAAATCTTTTTATAACCTTCCTTTCGTATACTAATTTATGCGTCAGTGTCAAGTCTGCGATTTTTATTCTTTGAAATTTTCGTAAAATGGCTGCCGCCGCGGTGACGCCTTGTAATTAACAAATTAAAATTAAATTAGTGTTTTAAAGTGCATAAATGCACAACTTAATGGTAAAAAGGCATTCCTTGATTTTTACTTAATATGTATCTGGAGTTATTTGAACAGTATTTTCGTCTATAGGATGGCATATTTCAAAAAACAAAACTGCACTCAAGCGTGTTGTCACAGCAACCGCTGAGCACATACTAATTGAAACTCTCTCTTTGATGACATTACGGTATAAAGTTACAAATAACAACACCAACTACAAAGTACTTCTGCTTAAAAACTTGAAATCGAACCGCCCTTCCGCCACTGTAACACATTGTAACGTTTTTCAAGACCTCCTCTCCCCCCAGATTGCATTACGTAACACTAGAACGCCCCCTTAGCAACAAATACCATTTCTCACTTTAAAAAAACGCTATTTTTGTTTTCACCCGCCAGAATGGGTGGTAATGGGTAAAAAGTGGTAACTAGAGATGGGTAGTGGGTAAAAACCCATTTCACCCGATTGGGTTTAAACCGGGTGATTTGGGTAAAAACCCGGTTTTTACCCATTATCACCCATTCTGGTGGGTGAAAACAAAAATAGCGTTTTTTTAAAGTGAGAAGTGGTATTTGTTGCTAAGGGGGCGTTCTAGTGTTACGTAATGCAATCTGGGGGGAGAGGAGGTCTTGAAAAACGTTACAATGTGTTACAGTGGCGGAAGGGCGGTTCGATTTCAAGTTTTTAAGCAGAAGTACTTTGTAGTTGGTGTTGTTATTTGTAACTTTATACCGTAATGTCATCAAAGAGAGAGTTTAGCATCTTTGGCATCCCCCCCCCCCTCCATGTCCTTGCCATGATCACAAATTATTGTGTTCCTACTAAATTTCTTCTAAATCGGTTGAACGATTCTTGAAATAACACCATTTTATAAAATAATTGGTCACTACATCATAACGTGATCAATTTTACGATTTGGCCACGATATAAATGCATATTAGTGTTAAATTTGACTTATTACTTATTAATCAATAAACTTAAATGAGAAAAATTCAATAAAAATAAAGATAAGATACCAATTGAAATAATTATAAAATTATTTGTTTTCACCCGGTGTAAACACCCACGGGTGGAATGAAACGGGTTTTTATTGGGTTTTTACCCTCATGTGGGTTTTTACCCGGGTGGAAACCCATCTCTAGTTACCACACTGCATCACGCTCCGCACTGTGGGCTGAAAATTATATTATAGATTTCAGAAATCTTGTGTTTTTAAGGAATAGTTTTAAAAAGACTATGCCCTATATGAGGCCCCATAATACATTTTTGAAATGAAAAGTCTGAGTAATGGTACCAAATCATAATAACAAATTAATATTATTTCTTTCTTTCTAATGAATACTAAATTTTTCAGTAATTTAAGGAGCTTATTGAAAATCAATCACACGTCTTCAAACCAATAACCATTTTTTAAATTCGTAACTCAAATGTTAAAAATATCGTTATAACATATTTTAAAAATAATTTGCGTATTTCAATATTTCTGAACGGAATCTTGATTTCGATCATTTTTATTTACTGGCAACATTTCTCAGCCTTTTCCGGCTTCTTGTGTCAAAGAAAGTAGGTGATTTTGTTTTGAAAAAATCCATGTTAATCGTATGAAAATAGTAAAATATTGATGATTTAGTTACTACACAGTGCGATTGATATTGTTTCACTACAGTGTTAATTTATATTTCTGTAAATAATCCTTCCTAAGTTTATTTCCAAGTTGTCAAACTTAGAGGTTAGCTATCAATCAACAGAACCTTACTATTTTGTGCTTTTAGGCCTCACCATGAAGCAAATCGTTGCTAACCAAAAGGTGAAGATCCCTGATGGGCTCACAGTTCACGTTAAGTCGCGGCTGGTGACAGTGAAAGGCCCGCGCGGTGTATTGAAAAGGAACTTCAAGCACTTGGCTGTGGACATTCGCATGGTGAACCCACGGCTCCTCAAAGTAGAGAAATGGTTCGGCTCAAAAAAAGAGCTCGCTGCTGTCAGGACAGTCTGCTCACACGTTGAAAACATGATCAAAGGTAAGAAGCTACAAACTTAACCAGTGAACCACAGTGAATTCCAAGTTCTATGGTATAGGAGACTTATCTGAACAGTTTTTAGTTATAATGTACAAGATACTTTGCCTATGAACTGATGTGACGCCCCTTTTGCCCTATTTCAGTTGCCAAACAAAACTCATTTTTAGTACCTAGGTTAGGTGCTATTATAACCAATAAACCTAGGTCGAAATTAGAAGCTATTGTTTAAATAGCACACTAATATTCAGGTTATGTTGATTTATTTAACAAAACATGATTATTTAAACATTATTTACTTCTAGTAGTATGAGTATACATTGTTATTATTTGTGGTACTGTTGGGGCATCTTTATTATAGTACCCATGTGTGATGGACAATGAATACCACTACTTTATGTTTGGGCATATTGTTAAAGATAACTTATTTTTGTGGCAAGGTCAAATATATTTGAAAGGNAATTCGGTCTTGGCTGGCATTCGTGGTGCTAGTGCATACCGTGAGTTAATTTGTTTAATTTGACCGCTAATTAGTTCATTCAGTTCAGTGTTCTTTGCTCGTGGTGAAGTGAAAATGTTTGTGAGTTATAGTGATGTGGTGTCAGTGTACTTAGTGAATTGGATGAGTAACGGTGTATACCTAGTGTATGAACAGGTTTAAATTATGCATTACACATATAAATATATAAAGAAGCCTTAACTTTATTTTTTGACGTTTGTTCGTTTTTTTACCCAAATGTTACCTAAATTCGTAATTTTACTTGCTATACTTACTAGTAAATGTTTTTTGTGTGTCATGCTCTAGCTATGGCGACTTTGTAATTAAATTATATGTATTTATTGGATGAAGGCGAGTTAGCCTGAAAATAATTTGAAATGCTTCATTATGTTATTTTAAGGGATCTTTAAAGAAGTATTATATTAACGCCTTTTAGAAGAAATGATTATGTTTCAAGCTTTTAAGTAACCTCCAAAACAACCAAAATTACTTTTTTATAAATTTGTACTCAAATTGAATTCAATCCAAAATTCTATCAAGTAGTTAAAACGTGGAACATTAGCTGTTATGTAGTCACTTATATACCTACCTACTTCATTATTATTGATACTATCTGACTGACAATGAGGCTTGTTTTAAAGGTTTTACTGAGCTGTAAATATCAACTACATAGTTAATTATTTACTGTCACATTAATGTAATTGCAGTGAGTATGCAAATGAAATATTTTTGTTAAATAAATTCAACGTGCAACAATGTTGGTGAATCGATTAAGTACATAGATACACTGACGGCTCCTCGCATATTTTATATAGTTAATTGGTTAATTAGTGGAATTTTATAGGTAATTATGTTTGTGCTTCGTTTATTTACATATAGATATTATATCCCTGAAGCTTGCCCCGACTTAATTAACATACCAAAGCAACTGAGATAACGTTAAAAGCTCAGCGTCTAAAGCTCATCAGAGCTTTTCCCTGAGATAAAAAGCTATAGCTTGCATATTTACGTTCTTTCATTATAAAGCACGCTGATTAAGATGCATTTAAATAATCGGTTTCATAATGATTACAAGAAAATTTTACATTTCATTAGACATGATAATGTTTTAAGTAATAAGATATCAATGATATCCAATGGGTAAATCACAACACAGACTGAACTGGCTAAGTGATCATAAAATATTGTTAGTCACTAAAAATAGAAAATTAATTATCCAATTTGGTGACAACTTTAGATGTCTTGTTTTCATGAATATATATTTAATCTTATGTTTAATTTTCCATATTTATAATATTAAAATATTATGAAAAGTTTCTTTAATTCAATGTCAGGTGAACAAAGATAATATCTACTAATAAATCCTGCATAAAAATTATCAGGCATAATGTTTCCATTACAAAATATTTTCAACAAGTTCTTTCAACAAAATCAAAAATGAAAGCCTACGCCATTGAGTGGGCCGATAACAAACAAGGCAACATTTTAAAGTAGTGGCTAGCCTAAAGGTCGGAGTCATATTATCCGGGTAAAATATACTTAAATATTGACAACAAATAAAGATAATAAAACCCATAAGTGGATATGCAACATGGTTGCTCGGACAAAGTGTCGCTTGTCTCCTAAATTGTCGGATAAACACCGTTGGATTCAGTTCCCTCTGTGAATACCTATTTAAAACGAGACTAAGCTTAAGGGCGGTACAGACGCGTACAAATTAATAAGCGGCAGAAATATTAGTCAACCTCCCACAAGTTTCAAAGCTCTGGTTTTTATAAGCTTTGAAAGTTGTTGTAAATATTGTACTAAGTACATAGCTCCATAGTGCTTCTGCAAAATTATGTAATTTACGAGTATGTAATTATTGAATGAACTTAGTAAGAACTTTCCAGATTCTTTTAGTTCAAGTATTATAATCAATTTGTCAAAGTAGAAAAATATGTTACCAAAAAGTAACAAAGAGCCCAGCGAGTGAAAACTGCCTCACAACAATTCATGTAGGTTTTTATTTATGACTCTATAATATATCGCACTTTCTATCTGGTACCTACAGTAAAGTTTTTGGAAAATCATTACAGGAATAGTTAGCTTAAAATAAAAGCTCCAACTGACAGTGCATTAATATTTATGTAATAATTTTAATAACAGTAACTATTAGTTACATTACATACTTAAAAATTAACTANGAAAGGAGAACAACCACTTTCTATGAAGCGTTGGGCCCAGTACTAAGTTATTTGTACAGCTACAAATTTTATGTCGTTTTTATGCCTTCATAAACTAGTTTATTATTGTGTTTATTTGAGGTTGCTAACTAGTGTCATTCTCGAGAAAACTAAATTAGAAAAAACTAGAAAAAATGTTACTTTTATACAAAATCAAGTCGTCAGTTACCCAAATCGCAAGCAGAATCCGTTAGAAATAGCATAAAATGTTATTAATCGATAGTTTTATTTCTTCTTCTTCTTTTAATTCGTTTTAATTCAATTCAACAAGCATTCGCAACAGTCTCATCCCTTAGATCCTTTAGACATACTCTCTAATCTGTGGTCTCATCTGTGATTCGCAAGTGACATTGCTGCAATGACAGATGACAAAACGAATTATTTTCATTCATTATTTCATTCAATCATTTTAGTTTTGTCATCTGTCAGTACAAACCTTCTTAAAGATCAAATACACTGAATTGTTCCACCCGTGACATTGACAGGGGGCGCCACTGTCAATACCGGATCGCTGGTTTCGATTTTTGCCATGTTAGAAACTATATAGTTGAACGATGGTGGCGCCCCCCTGTCAATGAGTTTGGTGGGACAGTATAGTGTATTGAGTCTTTAATTGATTGACTTTTAACGTTCCATTTCACGTTATCTTAGATTAAATCATTAATTCGTTTTTATTATTGTATACGACTTACGACATCAGTTAAAATTATCATTTTTACCGTAAAATACTCCCTAATGTATGCGTAATATAATATCAAAAACCTACCAATGTACAACTCTGTACAAACTTGGGCCCAAAATGGTTGTTCTCCTTTCCCAGAAAATGAATTATGCCTGATTTCTAACAATGTTCTGTATGAATTGCTGTAATTTATTTATTTAAACTTTTATGCCAAAATAAATTTGTACATAAGGCGAACTTAATGCACTAAAGCATTCTTGACCAGTTTACCTTTGGGTTGAGCAGAAAAGAAATTTGTTTGGCGGTACTTCTAGTGCTTCTGTATCCTAGAGCTTTTAAAACAGTTCTCTTGGAAACATTGATTGATTGTTGTAACTCCATCCATGTAAATAGAAATTCATTAGTACATAATAATATTATTTCATTTATTACTAATATCTAGTGTATTTTTTACTTACATTGTCTTATTGTCCAAACTATGCAACCTGCCAGTAGTGAAAAACTAACCAAATATTAATAATTTGTGGTGATAGAACTAAGCTTTGTTTATAGTCTATTGTATACCTACTTTAAATTTTATTATTGTTATAGGTGTGACCAAGGGTTTCCAGTACAAGATGCGTGCAGTATACGCTCACTTCCCCATCAACTGTGTAACCACTGAAGGCAACTCAATCATTGAAATCCGTAACTTCCTTGGTGAGAAATACATCAGGAGGGTAAAGATGGCACCTGGTGTGACCGTTGTCAACTCACCCAAACAAAAAGATGAGCTGATCATCGAAGGAAACTCATTGGAAGATGTCTCCAGCTCTGCAGCTCTCATCCAACAGTCAACCACCGTCAAGAACAAGGATATCCGAAAATTCTTAGACGGTCTTTATGTTTCTGAAAAAACAACTGTTGTTATGGATGAAATATAAGGAATTTTGATAACATCTTAAATATTTGTTTTATTTACTTGGCAAAGAGCTATTTGATGACTACCTAAGTCTATAAACAGTCATCATGATCTGATTTTTTTTATAAAACTCAAAAACATTAAAAATAATTTCCATACGGTTTTCATATCTGTGTGCTTACCATGAGTTTATGTTAGGTGTGCCCTCTAGTCTTAGTAGTACGGTTGTTTTGTCCGGTCCCGGACTACTGATACTTATAAAGTTTCATTAGTACGGTTATGACGTCTAACCAAATTAATGAGAATATCTGTAGTTCTGTTAATGGTGGAAGAAACCATAGAAATAAGATTTTTCGAAAAACAGCTTTTACTTAAGTTACAAATCCTTTTTCACTATTAAAAGAATCGTCATAATACTTTTTGTGTTATTTTTGTTTTTAACATCGTTAACCGGACTACTGATACTAATAAAGTTTCATTAGTTCAGTTGGTTAGTAACTCTGACGCACTCGCTAGCGAGCACTCCTAACGTAAACTCATGGTATACAGGATGTCTCAAAATTTAGTGTCAAGCCGAAGCCCAGAGCACAGAGTTAGAGCATCACTAGGGCTATATCCAAATCATCGTGACTTGACAGTTTTTTCGGGTTATTTTTTTACAACATACAGGATTTTAGTTAACAGCATTCGTGTTATGGATGTTAATTACCTACTTCTGAATCAGCTAGGCCTAGTATTCATCTAATAATAATAAAAAAATCAGGCATGTAACTTGACTATTCGCGCCACTGACCAAAAGTGCCTAAGCACAGAAAAAACAATCAACCCGAAAACTCAAAAATTGCGGAACATACACGGGGGTGATTTGGATAGCCCTAGTGATGCTCTACTTCTGGGCTTCGGCATGACACTTTTTGGGACACTGTATAAGCACTATGCTAGATGTCGATCGCGGGTTCGATTCCTGCACAGTACAAACATTTGTGTGTATGCTATGTGCAATGTGCATATGAACTATTAAATGTGTTAAAATGTTTGTAATGGTCTGGTGTTCAAGAAAATTAATAAAAAAAAATACGTTTATAACCTGGTAAAGTACAAGTTAGTTTAGGACTAGATGGCGTTATTTATATAATTTGTTCATCTTATTTGGTGAAAGGGAGTCTGGGACATTGCAAATTAATTCCCAGTTGCCCCCAAATGGTGACGACATTGGGATTATTAACCCTCGGGGAGGGGGGCGACCCCCTATTGTTTTTTCGAAATTGGCCACACATTTCAAAGGAAATTTTTGAAATCAGCATAAAGTTAACTCTTGTAGTGCCGTACGTTTATTGGGTATGCTAAGTACGTTTTAATTTCTGCTTTCTCAGACTGAATTCGATTTCAGGCTGGCTGGCCTACTTTGCCTTAAAAATAAAAGGAAGATGTAAAGAAACAACAATAGAATTTTCAACGTAAATAATTTTATTCAAACTATTCTATTGAACATCACTAACTCATAAACACTGTACATCTGCAAATATGGGTATTCTGGTGTGTTAAAAGTTAACTAGATAAAAATACATTAATTACACTTAAATATACACAGATTAACACGCTCGATTAATTAAATAAGGTACCTACTTAGACAATAAAATAAATAGCTATTAAAATAAACCATTCTCAATAAAATATTGTTAATACACAAGTGTATAAACTTAAACAAAATTAATAATATTATTTACACAATTAAAATTTAGTCTAAGAATCACAACCAGCATATTAGATACTTATATTGTTTTCCAATAAAAATAAATCGACCAAAACAATAATATGACGATATAGGTCATTTTGTATGTCTAAAAAATCTTTGGTACCTACCTCATTTACTTGGATTGTAAGTTAAGTCAAGCTAGTCGTGATTCCAGACCTAGCAAATTTGCCTATTATTCAAAATAATTGTTGTCATGCATAAGATAATTAAAACACAACATAATTTCAGACTACCCTTGCAACTTTCATTATTATTTTAAGTACATATAAACGCTTTACACAAATCATCTTTAATAAAAAGTGCATAAAACCACTATAAAATTAAGTACATAATAAGTTTATTTATATTGAAGAACAGCAATAAAATGTGACGAATAATATTTATTTGGGTATGCACTAAAAAGAATAACTTGATGTAACAGCAATACACAATCTTAAGCTTTACATGCTCGCGTCTAGCGCCATATTTGCAGATGGGCACTCTCATTATTCCGTAAGAAAATAAAATTCTCAATAAATAAATGTCAAACACTATTAAATTGGTGAGACATTTCACACCATATAACACAATTGCTTACTATAAAAATGATCAACAAACAACTTTGCACCTCATCTAACGTGTCAAGGGGATATCGGTGTGCAGAACATGTCATGAGATTCAATGGTTACGATATAGATTGCCGCTTGAGCAAATAATCCTGAATATGTACGGTCGAAAGCACGTCAACCTAAAACAAAATGACGAATTTCCTTAATCAATTTGGAACTCTATGTCTTAATTATAAGGGTCAAACCTGATTGAGGAAATTCGATATTATATTACAGGTTGATGTGCTGTCCACTGTGTCTTAGCCTAGCAATGCGTCAGGTGGGTCCGGCTACGCAGCGTCATACAATATACAACTAGTAGGTAGGTATATTAGCAAATACATCACCGGTGCACCGTGATTCGTCACATACGATAACTTCACTATTCGTATATAATATTAAACTCTTAATGCTGACGAAGATTCAAAATGTATCTAGCAACCTGAGTAAATTAACATGAATTATATCATTTTTTAAATTTATTCAATATACAATAAATTTACATAGTTAATTGAAGCACAATAGTGGATCGTGACAAATAATTAAAATAATAGGTACATCGCATACGGCCGCCACTAGATAATATTTGCACATTAAACGTAAAGCATCTACAGTGAATGCGTAATAATATCTTTCTGGTCAACAATTTCACATGTGAAAATTTACATTAAGTTTAGAGGTTCAAATAATCTCTTAAGCTAAACAAACTCGGATAGGGTGTCTATCAAGCGTTTATTTAGTAAAATCTGATTTAATAAATAAGTCGACTCCTTAACATCACATGACTATCTAACGAGCGGGCGCGCACCGCTCGCTACCAACGATATTGCTTATGTCGCCTAGTCTACTTGTGACCGACTTACGCGCGCTACCGGGTCACTATCGGCGGGCAGGACGGAAGACGACTGGGTACTTCCAAGCTGAACACGTAACATCTAAAGGTCGCGCCAGTCCACCACCCTCCGTGTAGGCGTGGCCAAATGGATGCTATCTCTGTTCTAATAAAGTGTTAGAAAGAGATGACGAGCGCAGTTAATATCAGGTCTAATTTAAGGCGAAGTTTTGTGAACTTTAAACCTTCATTAACCTTATTAGAGTAAAAAAGACGATGTCAGCAATAATACACCCGAATAGTTTTAAACATTAGAGATTTGTGACTATAAATTTTATGACATAAAAATGACTGGCTAGCGCAATCCTAAGTACACGCGTTACTAATCAGCGATATTGCTCCTATAGGACGCAGGGATCACGAGTCTTCCGCCCTACTCGCGTGTGCAGTGGTAACAAATCGGGTCTACTCCGTGACTCGACATCCGTACTTTGCCTCTCGCTGTCTAAGGCAGTGATTTGCTTACCCAGGGACGGAGTATGCCCCTAATCTACAAAATTTCTTGTCTAAGAGCGAGGGTTCTAAAAAAATTGTATGTCCCTGGGTAGTGTTGTCACATACGGGTACCGTTTCACGGAGTGGGCCCAGGGACGCGTGAACTGGAGGCACTATATAGGTAGTTCAGTCGCGGTATGGCACGGGCTCACAGCGGCTCGCGGCGCGGCACCCACACCGAGGGCCCGCTTTCCGCCGTTATCACCGTCTTCACCTTCGCGTAGATCTCCTCAGGCGTGTCGCCCGTCACCACCGCTGCAAACGGAACGAGTTATAGATTGTAGAGATGAGACGTATTTACTAGAACAGATCCACACACTAGGTATTTTACAGTACTAGGCGGCACCTGTTCCAATTTTTTAAATACTTGATCCACCTAGTATTTTAAAAATTACACGATTTCCGACCCTACCATCAAAGTAATAGAGGTTATTATTGCGTAATCCGTAGTCGTGTATTACGCGCACCTAGTATTTCTCGCTAAGCTTATGTGCGAACGTAAAGATTCGCTCCGTCTCTGTCTGACCAAACAAATTTGAGCGTGACGAAGCAAACGCACACAAACGAAGTCATGTAAATAAGAAAAAATATGAAAATATTTTTATGAAATTGATATCTTTTAAATACGCCAACTTTTAAGTTGACAGTCCTATGCTTGTTGAAGTATGAAGGGAGGAATTTATTATTCAATTTGAAATTGCATTATGCATACTACGGTTGTATCTTAAAAAAAAATGTATTTTAAAGTCATATTACGTGGATTAGTCCACACTAGTCGCGTCAAGTATGCTAAATTACTACATACTAGGTGGAATAGGTATTTGGATCGAGTATTAATAAATACTAGGAATAGGTGCACCTAGTATCAAATTTACCTAGTATAACCCATATCTAATAGATTGTAGAATGTGTGTTACGTCATTTGAATTCACCTACTGAACTGCCTTTTATGACTGCAGATGGCTAATCTGGATAATGCTACTGGTAGGGCAGTGGTTCTTAACCTTTAAGTCATGAGGGACCATTTTACCAAATTTCTGTCTTGTCAGGGACCACGGAAGGTTAGACAAACTTCGTGGGTGTATAGGTAAGGTCATTTTGAGAATAAGAATACTTTTTTTTAAAACCTATGAAAGCGGAGGTCGATTTCTCGCCCACTGTGCGCCGTTTGCGTTGTGTTGACTCGACTCATCGCGTCACATCAATTGTTTCTTACGATGTCTTCGCGGACTACTTGGAATGCCTCCAGGGACCACCATTGGTCCGCGGACCACCGGCTAAGAACCACTGTGGTAGGGTATTCTGGCTAGGTTAGGAAAGCCTATCGGCACGCTATAGTGTTGTGTCAGGGAATGGAACATTGTATATGTCACGTGATTAATGTTAACGCCCCGTGGTTTTGTTTTGGAAAAATAAAGTGCTAAATGAAAAATTTTACGACATGATCGGGGCGACTTTCATAATTCAGTTTCCTGTATGAGCATGAGAATTCATGCTTTGAATACATACCAGTGAAATATTCAGCAAATTCCTGCTCCATTTTTAGGGCGCGTTCGTAAGTTTTCTTCGCTTGTTCTTCGGTCATTCGCTTATTCATTTCCCTGTTGAAAGAAATAACCACCATGAGTTACAATATAGTTTACTTTAGATGATTTAATACCACATGAAGAAATTATACTTACATTATTGACTCTACGCTCTTTGGTTTTATAAATATGGCAATGGGATACAGTTGCGCCACCTGCAGTCTTTTGATGGCGTTCCCGCTAACGTCCAAAATGCAATGCTTGCCCTGGAACAAACATAAAAGACTCATTTGGATGGTTTCTCGTCCTGCAAGGACAAGTTAAAAGATATATATTACACAGTTAAACGCTGCACTTTTTCGTTAGAATAGTGTTGCGTAACTGTCGATAGTGTTATCGAAAACTATTCAGTGTGCTTTATACCATGAGTTTACATTAGGTGTGCTCGCTAGCGACTGCGTCAAAAAAATCTATGAAGATTTTAGTACTTGATAGTATCCGCTAGGGGCGCGCGCTGTACAATTTGTCATGTAATTTTTTTTCGTAGTCGCCATTATCGCGAGCACACCTAACGTAAGCCCACTGGATATCGATAAACGCTTTTCAAACTGTCGATAGATTCTGATTACGTGCTCCGCATGCATATCACACCTTCTTGGAAGACGATGGAACTGCAACTATAGTTACTTACATAGGCGTTTCTAGGGTTCTTTTTCAGAGAGGGGCCTGGCCCCTGATATGCCATGTCACGATTGTTATCATAGCTCATGAGTTAGTAATGTCAACTATCATCTACAAATCAGTAGCCCAACCAGGCCTGTACATCTCCGCGAGTTTATATCGAAAACAAAACACGCACGATGGCCCACCTACAGGATACTATTCGACAAGGCCTCACATACGAGCGAACATTGACTCACGCACGCGTATTCTTGTGTATGATGGAAGAAAATGGTGTACTAAATACTGTGCAGTATTTAACTGCCTAAATAATAATAAAAACACAGAATGTACTTTTTTAAGTTGCCTCAAGACACTGAGAGGTAAATAAGTAGTTAATATTATTCATGATAATTCATGCTAAATCATGTATTTCCTCCGCCATTTTCCGCAGTTTGGCACCTCACGTCACATCATTTTACCGAAGTCAGCCCTATAGCTTCGGCGCAGTGCCGATCACTGACGTTTGTCAACAAAATGGTGCTTGACTCTTGAGACAGGCTAACTTAGGTAGTACTTATTATTATTCTGTGGCCCAACCAACATCCTGAGGGGGCACCAGAACTTTTTGGGGGCGCTATATACGCGCATGGTTCCTTACCTTCTCAGCGACTTCCCGGACTGAGGCCACTGACGTCCCGTACAGGTTGTCGTTGTACTGGCCGGCCTCGATGAACAGATGGTTCTGTATGTCGCGCTCCATCTGCTCCCGGCTCGCGACGAAGTGGTAATCGCGCCCGTCTACTTCGTAGTCGCGTCGCGGCCGCGTCGTGTCTGGAATAACGAGTTTATCGGGTTGCCAGTTTTTATTGGGTTTCCCAAAGTTGTGGGAGTAATTTTTTTGGACGACAGGAGAATAGGGGACTTTATTATGCTACTTGATTCGAGCTACAAATATGATAGACGTTTAGAAATGATCTCAAAATGATTCAACTTTGCAATTAAAGTTAATAATAACTATGGACCATAAAGTTAATATACCCAGCGGAAGGAAGGAACATTAACTTTATGCTATGGAAAATACAATTAAATGTTAATTCTATCAACTTCATGCGCAGTTAAGAGATACAAATGGTCTGAAATAAATTGAATAACTAATTTTGCAAGGTACAAAAGGGATTTGTGGGTGGTGATTTTTTTACAAATATGGATACTCACGTGGTACGCAGCTGCCAAACTTGTCAGGGAACTCGGATATCAAGTCATCGTTTATCCTGTCCTTGAGCGGGCCCAGAATGATCACGGGCCGCGTGTAACTGATCGTCAACTGCTGGACCGTCTCATACGACAACACAGTCTCGTCTTGGCCTGCAAACCACCACACAATGCATCTATCACTTCAATTTACATCGCTCACTCAGTGACCTCTAAACTAATCATCTCTCTGCTCTATGACTGATATGTCTATGGAATTTTCTGAGACTTTTGTCATTAAAGAATTCACAGAACCCGCTACCGTTTGCATTAAATGTATATGAAACTCGTCAACTAGGTGCGATGAGTGCCCAACATTCTATCAGCGTGCAGTCTTAGTGCTATCGTTACCTGGTTATGCTATTTGTACAAAGTGAACATCAAAGAGCATTCAGTTAATGTGGACTATTATTCTGTTCGATGGCAAAGCTTTGTATAGCCACTCGAATAAGTGAACGGTAAAATATAGCGCACGCTATACCTAATAATGTAGACAACTCTTCAGTAACTTGTGCTAATACTACAAATGTTGAATTACATCATAATATAGAATACTAATTTTACAATAAAGAAAATAATACCAATAATACTAAGTCACAATAGTAATGCAAGCATCTTTACGATTGCAACGTCAATCATCAATGGTGTACGTAAATTATAAAATTCTACAAATAAACTATTTTGTACTTTTACTTTAGTGTCAATATTACAATCTAAGTTATTTATCTGCCTCTAAAAGCTAGCACGATGTTCTTGGATATCACATGCTTTACAAACTATTACAACGTCCATCTTTAATGTGAGCCAGAATCAAGTAATCGCTGACGCGCATCCGCAACTATTCTGTCATATCAAAACGTACTGGAGTGCGGCCCGACGATTACTCGAATCAGGCGGTAGCTGTACAATGCTTTAGAACAAAAACGTGTAATAAGCGAATGTACACAGTATACCAGCGGTCTGCTATGCGGTAAAGTAACAGCTCCCCACTAAACATCCGAAGCGACAAAACTAACTCTAAAAATAAACCAGCACAGCGTTCTGAAAACTGAAAACAAGCTCGTATGAAGTATGTCGTGAGGTCGTGAGTCGGACGCCGGCATGCGTGGCGACTAGTGGCGACTAGTGGCGACTAGTGGCGTGCGGTGCTGCCGAGTGCTTCCAGTGCCGCCGCCGGACATCGCCGCGCCCGGGCCGGGTCAGCGCGTGTGATACACAATTTTGAAACATGATCCAAACTTTCGTGAGCTCGATGATAACTTTCGAGTGCGCAGAGCTATTAGAATCGACGCGTTGTATGAATTAAAAACGACTGAACATAAATAAAGTATGACAAATAATAATAAAACTGGAGTGTTATTGAAATGAAAACTACGTTTCTAATTGATGATCATAACCAGAATGCGGGAGGTAAGGTATCGGCTACGGCACTCGCAAGCTACGCCTCACTCCCAAAACTTACTCTCGTCCTCGAGATAAATGAGCGTTATCTCCTCCATCATGGGAAGTTCCACTCGATACAAGATTTCCCCTACACGTAGAAAAATTAACGTTACATAAATTTATAAAATATTCTGCGATGTGGATGCGGTCCGTCGATGGACGCGGAACTGGCAATAATAACTCAGTAATGAACGACAGGGGGTGACATAATGGAGAAGGTACAACGTTCCCGCGTGGATGTTCGTTAGCGGTCACGGTTCGTTAGCAGCTCGCTACAATCATGAATAGCGCTTGAGAACATAAAGAGCAAATAAAAATACTGTATCGTTGATAACAGATGGATGTTAACATACGTTGGCACGGAAGGCAACTAGAAGCACGGGACGGCGGCCGAATGTGTTCCAAACCATACCGTGTGCTCGCTGCGACCCATTCATAGTCAACATATACTACACGTGGAACACCAACTCATATCGCCTAAGCTGTCGCCTCACAACCTTGTTCCCTATATAAAGAAGGCACTTACAAAAGGCCATTGTACACCATTCATCTGTGCTAGGACAATATTCGTATAAAGTAGTATGAAGAATGTACTCTATTGGTTTTTTTTTGGTAGTGATGAAAGATTTTTTCCGAAAAATTTTCGTTGGAACCTACTAACTTTCGAGTGTGAGATCATACTTGAGTACCCCGCACTCAAAACTTCAAAGTTTGGTGGTGTAAAATGCCCAATTTTATTTTTTCTCATTGCAAGTGTTATTCAAAGTTAAAGTAAATTACTACTCTATTGACATTTCGACTAATCGAAAAATTGAGATTTAAGAAAATAATACGAAATAAATGACTATTAAAGACCGGATTAAAAATTAAAAGAGATATTTTTGAAAACTAAGATTTAATGAAACAGAGTTGTGAGGCATTAGAGGCTTTGACAAAATAAAATTAGAACTATCTAACACACATAGTAATGATTTACATAGCTTGTCATCGAGTCGCCCACATCATATTATCCAACAAGCGACATTTTATGCTGATACTGGATAATATTCTAAACCTATATAAATAGGCATCACCATGCTTCTTCATATACACTACAAGCGGTAATCATTTACTCACACATATCCGATACAGTTTGTATGGGAATGAATACACGGGGGAGATATCGACTACATACTGGGTTCATTGTGGTCAGAAACTTAATTAAAATCTAAATATGGTAACATTTTCAATATACTTTTAAATGATGAGGTAGCACGAACACTCTTGGTACAGTATCTATATTATCATCGGATAATGATGTTAGCCTACCCACATAGACGCGATATGTCAAGCACAGATACCTGGTCAGTATAGAGCGCAATTTCCTACGTCCGTGAGACATAGTACTGTGGTTAGACAAGCAGATAGCTCCGATATAAAACACCTAACTTTGAATACAGTGGTTATTAGCAGCCGCATGAAAAAAAACTGCGTAATGTAATGACCTACGTACAGTAAACAGCAAAATAGCGAATGTAATAAGAATATAAGAATACAGGGTGTGCACTTACCGTCCGCGTTTGCATCCTCTTGCGTGTAGCAAAGCATGAAAGCTGTAACAAAATTATTTTATTAATATGCCGTGTGCTCGGCAGTATGAAAGCGACGGTTTTTGTTATGTTAACACAGACCCCTCTGTGGAATGTATAATCATGAGGGTTATTCACGTTTTATATTGTTCTTAGAATTAATATATGTAATATTATACTATATTGTATTAGTCCATGTAATTATACTTTAAATATAAGCGCTGGTGTACTTATGTGAACGTGACAATGTAGTTAGTTATATAAATAGAGTGGTATTACTTACGTTCTTGATCTGAACCGTCTTCGGATTTGCCGTCCTCCCGGCTCTTCATGAAGGGGAACTTTCTGCTGAAGGATAGCGTCTTCTTTTTCCTTTCTAACGTTGACTGGCTCTGTAATATTGAGATTTGTTAGTTAATTTAAATACACTCTAAATAAGGCGAATTTGAGCCATACAGTATCTAAAATCATCTTAAGTCATGGTAATCCATGGTAAATATTTTTTATGGTGTTTAAATAGGACATTGCAACGCAAAGAGTAGCATATTTCGGTCACCATTCGAGAACGGCGATGCTCTAAGAGTTAATAATACTTATCAACAACGTAGTAAGCGATATCACATTTTAAAACAGCTCATCTACACTCGCGAGCAAAAATATGGAATCACCCCATTTATTTCGAGCGCTCACAAAAGCTAAATGACTAATAGAAGACAAATAAAAATGGAACCATTTTAAAGGTAATATTATAAACTTTAAATTGATACCACAGATACATACATAGTCATTCAGTTCTTAATATTGCTCTGACCAAAACACAAGGTGGTGATTCCATACTTTTGCTCGTAAGTATAGTAGCTTCCATTACATAGAAGTTTTTGAGCGTTGAGTATACCTATCTGCAACTAATTGAGCAATATATCTGTTTTAAAGCCAGTGTAGTAGTACTACATAAAGGTTTAGAGAATAAAGTATAACTTACTGAACTTACAGTGCTAACCGGAGTGCCTTGCCCTTGGAACTTGACTTGGCGGTCGCGCGCTCGTTGTTTTCGCTCCCAGCGGCGTTTTGAAGGAATAATTCCGATCGCGTCCGCCTCTGTTTTGTCGAGACGTCTGGAAGTATATAAGGCATGATTACGTAGGAAGAAAGGTAAATACTGTTTAAAAATTAATAAAGCTTCGGCCAAACCAATGCGTGTAGCGTGCGCGATGGTGATCACTACGCGTGCAAAAGTTGTTCACACTGCCGCGACGCGTTCCAGATTTTTACTATGAAAAAATTGGTTTGGCACAAACCCTGTTGACCCCATTGACCAATAATTTTTGATTAACCTTACCATTATTTTGAGATTTCTAGACTTTTTAAAATCAACGTTAAGAATGAATAAACACAATGAAGTATGATAAAATAATTAGTAGATTGCTGGTTTACAACTATTTATGTGATCTTTTAGTCGTATCCTGCAATGCAACGAGGCACGGATAATACCTATAGTTGGAAGGGATAGGCAAAAGCAAACTTGAGCGAAAAGATATAAAGAAAAGTATACCTCGTTTATGAACTACAAGTAATACGACATCAGTTGTAGCAGTGAGTTCGTGAAATAATCACAAGCATTTTATACAATGAATTATGGATGTGTATAGAATGTGTATAAATCATATGAACATTATACGTGACCTAGTACATCACTGGGCATTAACAACTGAATATGACGTCGAGAGAGCACAATAGAATCATATAGAATAGAGTATGAAATATGCTGGCACGACGCCTGACTAGTTTGGAGAGTTAAGGTCAATAACATAACTGATGTTATTTATTCATTATCAATAACAACAGCATCGTAAAGGAAATACGAGTATAGTTTTTTGTCAAATTACTATGGAATAAATTAATCATCTTAAAGATTTCCTCAATGACAGGTCCTGCGCTGCCCGCATCCAGGCACCTCCCGCGACCTTCACCAGATCGTCGGTCCACCAAGTGGGGGGCCTGCTCATAATACGTCTTCCGGCCCGTGGTGAAAATTCTAGAACTTTTCTGCCGCAACAGCCATCATTTCTACGAGCTATATTATGTGCATCACCCGTATTTATAAAATAAATGAAATTTTCTTACCTAGCTTGCCACCACTCGTCGTCAGAAGCGTTGGTGACGTGTAAGATGTCGCCATAGCGGAATGGAAGTCCTCTTGAGGGTAGGCCATCGTCTTTGACTGGGTCGTAGTCGAACAGTGCTCTGTAAAAAGATACAAATAACATTACAACCCAGTTTTAGTGCAAATGTGTATGTATAGGATTCGTATAATTGTATATTGCATCATATTTGATGCGACGCAAACTCTAGCACGACAATATAAACCTAATTTTTAGGCTGAGTTGCACACTTGCACCATCTAACTTTAACCGTAACTATAAAGATAACGGGTGTTTTTGTATGGAATTTAACAGATTTTTGACGTTTATTTAAGTTAAAGTAAGATGAAGCAACCCAGCCTTAGTTATCTAAATGTTTTTCTTATTAATTTCGAAAGTAATTAACAAAGTTTAACATGGTCTCGAATTTTAATGACTCATTCTGTATTTATTGATTCTTAGTTACATAATTAGCTATAATGAAGCAGGAATTTTAAGTTGAATTGTTGTGAATATTACACTGATTGCATTCTCATTGTTATACAGACACTGTTTACAATCTATATATATAAAAATGAAACCCGTTTCGCGTTGTCACGGCATCACGTGTGAACGGCTGAACCGATTTCGATAATTCTTTTTTTTTAATGTTTGTGGAAGTCCAAGGATGGTTCTTACGGAAAAAAATATTAAGAAAATCTCTACGCTAAGGCGGTACGAAGTTCGCCGGGTCAGCTAGTTATCTATAAATATTCAATAAGACACAAGTCGCAAACACGTGGATAAGATACAAATTACTCACCTCACGTACAAAGATCGTTTTTGCGATGTTCTTAGGAGTGTGTGACTTTGTTTCAACTCATTGATGCGAGCCTCGAATTTGTTGTATTCCTGGGGCCTGTAGACAACCGTCAATTTCACATTCTGACCCGTGCTCTGAAAATAAACAGTCGTAATTTTGATTATGATAACAAGTTATGTCATGTACAATAAGATTTACTATCTTTACACAATCATCTATATCCATCAATAGATAAATACAAACACAATAAGGTGTCAAGGCAGGCCTGGCTCACTCCGCGCGGTACATCCGATAATTACCTACAGCGGAGCGCCCCGCCGGCGGGTATTATATCAGTCGAGTGTCACGCGCACGCCCGTCGGGACTTGATGTTTTGCCTTTAATAAATAATTTCTTTTGAATACAATTTATGATGTTTTAAGAATTTTATCGTTAAAATATTAACTATTACCTTTCCGTGTAGGTAAATGAAACGGAAGAGTAACATCGATACACCAAATTACGACAAGCTAGTTCTTTTACCATAATGCATAGGTACCCCAACAATATTCAGTAAAAAATAAATTGTTGCCAAAGTACAGCGAGTAAGTTTGTGCAAAGCCAAATACAAATATGATTTTCGGGTGATGCCTCTCGTTCTAGTATGTAGCCGTTTCGTGTTTGCGTAGTAAGTAGGTAGGTATGATGTCATTCTTTCTTCTGTGATAGTAGGTATGTTTAATTTATTTGTCTTATGTTAAAATAGGTATGAATGAAGACATTGTATTAAAATAAGTACTTTTTTATCCTAAGTAGGTATATTTAAAATGTTATTTTTACAAAGGTAAAATAACACTAATACTTACCTACATACGTACCTCATTACAAATACCTAAGTAGATTAATTCTATTTTTTCACTAGACAGCATAGCAACCCTAGCAGCGTAAGAAGAGTTCAGAGGCACGCGATAGAAAGAGACAAAACTTGTAGGTGAATAAAATTGTAAGTACGTAGTGCTGTGCGAGCTGAATTCCACTGTATCGCGTCGTAGCAAGACTCGCATTTATTTAAATCGTCTTGCGGAGTAATCCTTCTGTACCTGTACTATTACTTATTCTGTGGTCAAGTGCCGAGTATTATGACTGAAAAGATAATAAATAAATCTATTACACAATGATCAAAGTTGGAAATACACAACTACTAAAGGACATTACTACTACTGATTGATCGACGTGCTTCGCTTCAGAACAAACAACACGTGCCGTAGACTATATTACATATTTAAAGTAGGTAGGCGGTCTTCAAAAATCAAGGCACAGTTAGGCTTTATGTTCAGCAATAGTCATTCAAACCACCGAAAACTCGAGAAAAAAAAACATATTATCTCACTCAAGTTCAACCAAAGTGTCTTTACAGGAAACCGTCAGGTTTTAGTGGGTAGGCTTCGCCCTTGTGGTGGGCAGAGTAGAACATAACCCACTGTCCTCATCAGTCAGTGGGTATGCGCAAAGCACTTCCCGACGCGACGGTGAAATGACGTAAATGATGTAGATTCCGTGGCCATCCTCCTCTCCCACGATGTTGGATCCAAGGCCTTCCAGCTAAGAGGAACGACACGTAGATGCCGTGGCCATCTTCCCCTCCCACGATATTGAAAACTTCAGGACCCTTCTCTAAGTCCACCTGTTTTTTCAATGATCTGAATGAAGCAAGAACTCACCTTCATTGCCTTAGCAGCTTGTTCGTGAGTGGCGTGCGTGATATCAGCATCATTTACAGCAAGCAGTCGGTCCCCTCGCCTAAGTTCTCCCGAGCGCTCCGCGGGCCCCCCAGCTAAGAGAAACGACACGTAGATGCCGTGGCCATCTTCCCCTCCCACGATGTTGAACCCGAGACTTTGAGGGCTCTTTTCCATGTAAACCTGTTCCTATAAGACTAAATGACCTGAATGAAGAACTCACCTTCAATGCCTTAGCAGCTTGTTCGTGAGTGGCGTGCGTGATATCAGTATCATTTACAGCGAGCAGTCGGTCCCCTCGCCTAAGTTCTCCCGAGCGCTCCGCGGGCCCTCCTGCCAGTAAGAATGACACGTAGATGCCGTGGCCATCTTCTCCTCCCACGATGTTGAAGCCAAGACCTTGAGGTCCTTTTTCTATGTCAACCACTCGGGGCTCTTCGCCGTTGTCGGTCACGTCCTCTCGGCGGAGGGAGTTGGCTGTGCTTGATGCTGTAGGAAGAAGTAGGTGTGATTATTTGGAATACATTGGTTAAAAATATTCATCTTGTCAATAAATCTGGCGGATACGACCTTTTGTGAAAGCGACAAGCGGCCAATGCGAATTGCAATTAAGTTAAAATCGATTAAGTGAAATGGTAGCGATTAACACTGGTTCTGCGCTAAAGCCTGGTCCGTGAGCACGTAGAATTTTGTCCAATGACCCCAAGCTACCCATCCTTATCGCTCACGCGTAATGAGGATCATTTCGATTTTTAGCTGTGAATGCAGATTTATAGGGCTAAGAAATCCTTAATACACAGTGCAAAAATTTTTGTTCTACGACAAAAATTGACGAAGTTATGGCCAAATTACTAAAAAAGTTCACTGACCGCCCGGCGCGGGGACGATGACGTCATTATATCCGATCCGAACGCTGCCGGCGTACTGCTTGGATAGAAAATATTTTTTTCTAGCCAAATTATCAGTTTTAGAGAAAAACTTGTAATGACATTTATTCATCAGAATAAAGTAAGCTATCGATAGGTAATTGGCTAGCCCCTTCCCCCAGTCCATAAGCATAAGCTAGGTATACCCCGCCCCTCTCCTCTCCCCAGGTCATAAACTGGGCATGACTTCCCCCTCGACCAGAAGTTGGGTATGATAGTCGGGCACGAGCACGAGTTGCACGCGCTCGCCGGTCGCCTTCAGGGCGGCGACGGGTCCTCGTGCGTGACGTTTCTGGGCCCCGATTACGCTAATTTTTAACGTCTCCAATACATACGCGCTTCTTCTCCAGTTGCGCTCAGTTTTTCATTCCAGCTGAGGTGCAAATTCGGTATTACGGTACGGACGTACCTTCCTAGTATTTTCAGTGTCACATGAGATATTTAGCATAACGTTTACGTCTATGCTTCGATTGCACACTCGCTCGTGCACATTCACTGCGGGCGCCCGTCGCACAGTCGCGACAGCAACATAATTACGCGCGAGCGATAGGGATGGGGTAGCTTGGGGTCATTGGACCAGGCTTTAGCTATCAAAACGACACCGTGATACGGATTTGTCAAAACAGCTGATGTTCGTTCGTCGTCCGGGCACGTTGAAGATGAAAATGGTCGTGACCAGTGTCCCCCGTCACTTACGCGTGTTGGCCCGGGAGGTGCGCGGCGAGGGCTGGCCGTGCCGCGGGCCGGGCACGAGCACGAGTTGCACGCGCTCGCCGGTCGCCTTCAGGGCGGCGACGGCGTCTTCGTGCGTCACGTTGTCTAGGTTCACGTCGCCGCGCTGGTGAAGACAAGAGAAATGGCAATGCCAGATTTTGTATGGAAGGTGGCGTCTTTTTTTTTCGCGCAGCCATCGACCAAACTTTGTTTTTTGATTACAAAATAGTGTAATAAACCAAACTTACTATGACATGTATACCTCTAAACTCAGTCTGAACTGAGTTACGAGCGTTAGAAGTTTGATAATTTACATACTAGATTTGCTATTTGCGCGCAAGTTTTGTAAGAAATTGCAACAAAATATTGCGCTAATTTTTAATTGCGCTGATTCTGCTCCATACTGATGTCTGGAGCCTTTAATGGATGATATTGTTTGTTCACACATACAATGTCACTATTTTGTTGCAATTTCTTACAAAACTTGCGCGCAAAAAGCAAATCTATAGTCTATCCAATATAGCTTGATTAGAATGACGGCTGTCAAACGAATGTGACTAGTGCTGTGTATGTTTCGTACGGTTCACATAGATGTATCGATAAGTTTTCGAAAAAATTATATAAAAAATTGCACTAAATTTTTCTTCATATCTTTGTTCATAAAAATGACAATTATGATTTAAATTTAAAGACAGTAAAATTTAAAATTCATGTCAAGGGTGTACAACCTAAGTCGTAGTCATTATCATCAGTGTTCTTCAGTGGTTTTTTCCTCTCGCTAGAGGGCGGTGGGCATCTCTTCTAGAGCAACGGTGCTATGAATACCCAAAAAATTACCGGTGATTGATTTCCGATGTTTGATTATTTAAGAATGAAATGTTTTTTGGTTTTTAATAGTGAACATTTAGAAAAACGTATAACTTGACTTAAATATGTTAAAAAATTAGAAAAAAAAAAGGTAAATATGTTAAGAAATTAGTTTTAATTTAATATGACATTTGTCGATATGTCCCAACACTAACATTTTTGTAACTCGAGATAACCTTGTAGAGACGTCGTTAATACTCTAGCTTGATTTTTATAATTTCGAATTACTACTTATTGGTGTAATTTAACGCTGCATTAACACGAAATTAACATTTTTATTGGAAGCACTGTCGTCGAAAATATTGTTTGTAGGTCAGACGTGAATTATTTCTTGTCCGCCAATATTTAGCTCTCATTGATCGCTACTACAAAGTTATGTCGTTACTTTTGATGGCAGCTGTCATTCTAATCAAGCTATATTGGATAGACTATAGTATGTAAATCATCAAACTTCTAATGCTCGTAACTCAGTTCAGACTGAGTTTAGAGGTATACATGTCATAGTAAGTTTGGTTTATTACACTATTTTGTATCTAAAAAACATGATTTGGTCGATGGCCGCGCGAAAAAAAAAAGACGCCAATTTCCGGCATTGTCTTTTAACAAACACTATCTTACATGCCCTCTAGTCCCAAACTAAGCAGGTAAACGTCATTGCTTGCGCGACTTGTAATTGGCCTATGATCGCGCCGCGATGGCGATCTGCTCGCGTTGGTGTGATTGAAGCTTAAAGCTTGTACTATAGGTACCAAAATACGGATATCGTTCATTCGTCATTTTACTCAAAAGACCAATTCTGAATAAAGTTCTCCCTCAAAAATAAAATATAACGGATGGTATACTGCTGCCCACGTATGTTGCGTAGTAAGTAGTCTGGTACGCAAACCACTAGACAAAGCGGCCATATAAGATATTTACGACATCTGATAAAACCACTAACAATTTTAAACTTCATGAAATACGGTTCAAGTCCATGTAGATAGAACCTTGTGTATATATTTGCGTGACGATTCATTATGTTAATTTAGAGCAAGCAAATACTGTACTAGTAGTACATATTAGAATACGCATTTACTGTATGCCCATATACGATCTTCGAATGTCATCACATAACTTTGATGGAGTGTTACCTCTAAACTGACATTCGTCATAGGCTGTTTGATACGGCAAGTGATTCATGTTCTGATAATCAAATTGTTTGCAAACGGTGTTAAGGCCATTGTGGGTAAACACGTCGTTATGATATTGTTGTGAACGAGTTTACGTTCATAATGGACAAGTTTACAAGAACAATCAATGGAGCCATAGTATGTACTTGTAAAGCATAGAGCCACAGGTAAAATTGTGCTTTATCAGTCTGTCGAATGGTGGACGCAGCTATGCTAATATCAACGTGTGCTTACCTCGTTCTGTGACTATCACCGAAGATGACACAAAAGTCGTAGTGCTATGAATCAGCGATAATGTACTAGAGTAAATAAAAAATAACCAGATCTACTTCAACAATAATAAGTATAGTAGAAGCTGATTGATGATACAATGAATATAAATTAGATAGATTTGTTAGGGGTGTTTGCATTATTTAAATTATGCGTTGTAACGAAAGGGGCTACAATTTGAAGGAACGCAAATATAGATTACTTGAGTGGCTACTGGCTACAGGTTTCTCTGACAAGTCAAGAATAGTGACCATTAAGTATTCAAAGCACACAACCACTTTCATAGTCGAATTAATGGAGTGGTGCCCATTAACATAAAGACATGTCTTAATAGGCGTGGCTACATGATCTGAACAGTAACTATTTCTGCCTCCCAGGATTACTATTTTAATCAGAAGTTTTAGCACGATAAAATGGCCAATAAGTGGATACTTAGACAGTGACTTATTATTGAAACGTGCGAAAATAATAACGTTTAAGACTACATGAAACGAGACAGAAATGGAAAGCGCTGCATGCAAAATGCACCTTGGAATTATGGTTTTACGTGAGACTATTAGTAAGCGAGGCATGTTATTCAGAACGTGCTTAAACGGTATTAATTCTGTAATACGCCGTATATTTTTCAAACTATTTTAAATTCGATTTCTAACAATAGTATCTCCACTTAATTTGGGCCTAGTTAACTCCATTTAAAGCATCCAGTACATGCACATATTATCAGATATGAATAAATGTATGTCATGCGGCAATAGCCCAACGGTTTAGGTGTCGGACTGCCGATTAGAGGCTCTTTTGTTTCATTGTCATCAACCTCTATCGTATGAACACTCTCAAAACACAAGCTTATTCAGCTTAGCTATCGCAGTTAACAAGACTACCTATTTATACGTCTAGCTCTTAACTCAGTCAGTCAGTCAGAGGGTGTTTTTGAGACGTCAAACGTCAGCGAGACTTCAGACTTCTATGCTCTGTAATGTCATAATATGTCAATATCACTCCTCCTATACCGCTCCCATATTTAGGCACTCTGAGCGCTAGCACAGAATAATAATAAGTACTACGTACAGAAGTTTTACTTCGCGAAGGTATTTAAAAAAATGTATGGTCAATAACAATATGGTGTAATTTAGCCTGTCACAATAGTCAAGCACCATTTTGTTGACAAACGCCATCGTGCGTGTTTTGTTTTCGATGTAAACTCGCGGAGATGAACAGGCCTGGCGCTAGACCTATAAAAATTTATTTACCACAAATTACTGGTAATGTATAATAAATAACATGACTTACCGAAGTGTTCTTAACCATAAGCAGTTTATCGCCGACCCGCAAACGGCCGTCCCTATGCGCGGCGCCGCCCGCCATTATCTTCGTGACGTAAATCCCGTTGTCTCCGGGAATGTGTTGGTTGCCGAGCCCGCCCGCTATGCTGAAGCCAAGACCGGACCCGCCTTTCACCAGCTCGATCTCGACCGCTTCTTCTTTGCTTGTTGGCTGCGTCACGTTGAGGGTGTCTTCTGTGCCTCGGCGTCTTACTTTCTGCAATGAGTTTTGTATTTTAAAACAATGAGCACAAGGTTCAAAACTACACAAACCACTAATTAGGTGATGGTTGACAAGTCAATTTTCTTGCCATCCTAGAAGAGGAAACAAATGAAGTGATAACAAGCACCTCAATATTCTGATTAAAATTGCATAGAGTAAAACATTGTAGTTTTTATAGAGAAGAACAACAGTGACTGAGTTTCTTGCGCTTCTCAGCACTGGCCCATTTTATTGTCCCGAAGCAGTGTTAGGGGTAACACCGGGATGTGTAAAAATAAATAAATAATAATTAAATAATTATCTTTAGACATTTTACACTGCGCTTCTAGTCCCAAACTAAGCAAAGCTTGTACTATGGGTACTAGACAACGGACATAAACATACTTAAATACTTTTTTTTTTTTAAATACATACTTATTATACATAGAAAACACCCAGTCCAATACAAACAAATATGTTCATGCACACAAATGTTTGTACTATGCGGGAATCGAACCCGCTACCTCCGGAATAGTAGTCCCGTTTCGAACCACTACACCAAACGGCCGACTAAAAAGTGCTTTCTAAAAGCCTGTTTGCAAAAATAAATGAGTTTTATGAGATTTATTTTACGTTTACGTTATAGGTAATATTTAACGTTTACGTTTATGCGTCATAATGAGATGTTTTTACTAATGAAAGCATAGTTAATCTTACCAGTCTAACTGTATTTCCTGCCTTCTTTAACGCGTCTACTGCTTCAGCGTGCGTGACGTTTTCTACAGTCGTGTCATTAACCTAAAAGATATAAAATTTAATTAGAACTTAAGTGATGTTTAAAATAAAAAAAAAGATAAAAGATGGGTACCATTGGACAGGAGAAACAAAACACTTTAAATGTTGATTATAAAAAATCTCTCAACAGATTTGTTGGACTGTCCAAGCAAGAATAAGGCCCCAATGATTAGTTATGGTAATATTAGTTATTTAAATTGCGTAACTGTCAATATCTTTAAAACGTGTATTAGTCAAGGCCATGTTGGGTGTAAACATAATTTATGTATATTAGGTGCTTAAAACATAAGAATGTTCATTCTTTTGCGTTGTTTTATTGAGGCACTGGTGTTTGCAGTGGACAAGCCTAGCTTTTAGCGGCGAGGGACTAGCTAAGTTAAATATTTTGTGTGCAGTGCGTGACCCCTAGTAGTCATTAGGATAGGTTAAGAGCTACAATATTAATTCAAATATTTAATCAGGGCATTTTTAGGCTAAAATCGAAGCCTTGACTTAAAATCCTTCATACAATATTGTGTAAACTAGTGGTTAAGTGAAAAGCAAAGTTAAAAAAAAGTGCAAGTGTACCTGTAATATGGCATCGTTAATTTGTAGCTGGCTGGCGGCCGCCGCGCCCCCTGGTATGAGTTTAGTGACGTAGATGTGGGGGTCGTCAGGCACGTGGGGGTTGTCGGAGCCCCCCGCGATGCTGAAGCCCAGGCCTGCGCCTCCCGCGCGGGACAGCACCACGGTCATATAAGTGTACCCATCTTCCCCCTGAGTTCGCTCCGCATTGCCACCTTCGATTCCGTTTACCTGCAACTTTCATTACACAACACTATAAAACCCACACTACGGTTTATACATCCTCATTGTGATTGACCTGTCTTTAGCTGATTCAGTGGCGACTGAAGATGAGCTCTACCTGAACAGATTTAGGGCTCATTTTTAATTACTATACTCGAGAGAATAATTTGATGGGTTAAAGTTTAATTATTTTTCTACTATTTTCTACGGCTGGAAAGACTAAGCAGATAAATAAACAACTATTTCCTACCTACCTATAATACTGAGGATACAGGACTGACAATTCCTATACTTAACACTAAACATGAGTAGCAAACAACATGTTTTGTGTAGAAAGTCACAGAAATTAAGTTCTTAAATATGTACTATTCATTCCAACCGTAACAGGCATTGTATTGAGAGTTCCACTAATCATCATATTAAATCACCATAACATGAAAACATTTCTGAAGCCACCACAATTATAAATTATGATTAATACACCGGCAGCCTTTTCCTTGTAAAGTGTATGTAATAAAATTACCTGCTTCATTTCAGGTGATGCAACGTGTGCCTGAAAGACAAAAAATTATTACTTACATACTACTCCCATTCATAACCATTTTCGAAATATCTTTGAAATGTAAATATACATTATCCAACATTAGAAGGCATTCACCTTTACATTCTAATGCTGTCTGTTGGTAAATTGCTTTTAACATTTACATAAATACATATCTTAAAATATTTAGATATCTATAACATGGTAATAAGTGAAGTCTGTTCCAAATAATTTGAAAAGTGGTCTGAATAAGCTTAGAACTTTTATAGAAAGTTGTAAAGATTTAAAGCTGAAAACTTGCTCTCAGATTCTTCCATCAATTTGATCGTAAATTTTAAAAATTAGGGAAATTATAAAGGGAAAGCAACATTATTTGTTGTATAGACGACAGACTCAGAACATTGTGGTACGTGACATGTCATATTACTTAAAATATTCTACCCTCAAGGTAATTGAAGATAATAGATAAATCAACAAACTTTCAAAGACATATTTGGAAGAGATACTTGAATTAATATGCATTAAGGTATACATTATATTCAATGTCCAGTCATATGGTTTTACTATGTTTCTTTCTATAGTTAGATATTATAATAGATACTTACATGTACTTATATGTTTAACTAATAACTACTTCTAATACAAATTAATTCTATTATTTATTAAGTATAAGTATTAGTAATACAGTAAACAATATATACAGGTGAAGTTGTTTTTGAGACTGTTTGGGAGATTTTAAATTATCAAAAATTAATGCATACTGTCTCAACTCAAATCAGAAAAACATTAATGGAAAACAAAACACTGTCATCAGAATCCAATTAGAATGAAATTTTAAATTAAGCACTTCAAATTAAATTACTGTCAAGACTTCAGTTGTTTTTTCCCAATTTTAAGTTTTTGTTTGAATTAAATTAATTTGAAAACTTAACACAGGCAGCAATACTCATTATGATTATTGAGAATGTCAAAAGTTTATAATAAATGAGATGCAAAAATGGTGAAATTGAGATTGAACTGATTTACACTTTATATTTTTTAATTTAAAATGAAATTTGCCTACTCACCGTGTCAAGATTAAACAAGGAAGACACTTTCCGTAGAAATCCATTATGTGTTTTTTTCTTCCGTCTTTCAGTCATTTTGTAGATTTTATCATAGCCCTTGAGTACTTATATTGATGTCCGTTCTATATTATGTACACTGCATGCATGTTAGTTACACACTCGTGTCCGCTGTCAGCACCTTACTTCACGTTGTTCTGCATGCACCATTCTCTACCTAGAACCCAGTTCTAACTTGCACCAACACTTCATAGATGTATGTGACCTCTTTACAAATATGCGACCTCTTTTATGGTGGAAAGTTAATCATGTTAGCTCAGAAACTGCAGCAATCCTTATCTAATGAATGTAATAAATCGAACCGAGCCCTTTTCTGATAGCGATTTTTAGTAGATACATGTATGGCTATTGGCTAGATAATTATTAGGCGTGTTACCAACTTGTATACGATGATAGGATGGCATGAATGTCAAAGCGATGAACTTTAATTAGAATGTCCGTGTTACGTTATTAGTGTGCAATTTATGACGATTCGATATTATTATAAGTAGATACAACCATCAGCAAGTAACATACAGCTTGTTACAAGCAAAATTATCTCAGAAGTCGCATTAGTCTCACCAAGAATCGAAAACGTTCCCAAAGTGTAGAGAAATTACTAAACGTTTAAAAATAGATTAGTGTTTATTAAATGGCCTTACTTGCGACGAATACGAAATAACAGCAGTGTGAATGTCAAAATTTTGTGTGCAATATCATTTCACTGATTATCATCAACGGGGAATATTTCTCAGCCGATGCAGCGTTCGTACGTCATTGGCACAGTTGTGAAATTTAACGGCACCAATACACACAACGGAGAAACGTTAGCGAACATATCGCCGAAAACTTGTACTATATTTTAGGTTATAAATAGTACTACGAGACGCGAAACACCAACCATCCGCCATTACCGATACCGAACACTTGTTTTATGAAGCGTTCGCTACCTTCATAGACGTCACGTCATCAAAACCAAAGAAAAAACCAAACGCAATCATCGACCTACTACAGATCGATACCTAATAGTTCATCATTGTGATCACAGATGGCGCTATTATAGAAAACAATACTGATGCGTCTGAGTGTTGGTGCCCTACTTTGCTGAAATCGGAGCTAGAGAAAAATAAATGATATTTTATTTTACTTACTACTCTACCTAGAGACAGATTTTTTTCAACTATTAATTCAAAATATTGCATCCTTCGATGGTATCCTTTGATAGGTAAGCCTGGTAAGTACCTACCGTACCAATGTACCTATTTCACCTAGCATCGATGTCTAAGAGTAATCAGTAATATTTTTTATCATTGCAAACTTTATTTTGATGAATCTTGACAACTATACATATGTAACACATAATAGGTATGGCTGCCCGCCTAAGTGATTGGTAGAAAATGCATTAAGTCCGACAAACTATGAAAAAAAACCTGTACACACTTTTTACACTATCCAATTATTTGTCATACATTAACAGAAACCCTAGTCCGGTACTTGCCTTCTTTTCTTCGGCATTTCCACTTGGTGGTGGTATAACAATAGGCACGGCTGGCACCTGGATAAAAATAATTTATTAGTCAGCTTTAATTCAAACAGACCGATTTATTTAGACGGGTTTCACTCTCTCGCTAATAATGGGCCATACCATGCATGGCCACATGAATATCAAATTAATGGTATGATTACGTTTTGTCTATTTTAATTTTCTGGTTAACATTTAAGTTATGCAGCAAAAGCTGACATCATCCTACCTGGTCTACAGCGGCGTCACATGATCAATTAAAAAAACTCAAAAATAGAGCGGGAAAAGGAACCAACCTTTGCCGAGTCTGGGGTTTCATTTCGTGAATCCGGCTTCCTGTTGTTATCTTGAAGGAAAGCGTTCGACACGGATCTGTAGTCGGTTTCCTCCATGGGGATCTGGAAACCGATCTGGAAAACAAGTGAAGTTGGAGCTATCAGAAACTGAAAAGTATCAAAATAAATAATAGTAGGTACTATAATAAATTCCGTATTGAAGAAAATGACTGCGACAATCTTTTTTTCTAGTATTAAAAGTTTATACTTAGAACTTCTTGCAAAAAAGTATGTAGCATATCCAGCTAGGATTGGTTTCTAGGATACAAGTGCAGTAGAGTTCGAACTAAAACCGATAAAAACTTTGGTTGAATAACAAAGCCCGCGTGTACCCAAATTACGAATTGTTGATACAGCAGCAGAATAAAAATTGTTCCTGAAAGCAATATAAACATTCAGTTATTGCAGCTGCACGCCAGCAACGCCAGCGTTTATTCGCTGCAAATTGTTCGCTTCAATTATGTGCAAGTTAAACAATTTGTACGGAGCACAGAAGTTGCTGGAAATTAAATAAATTGAGCTTCGATCCCATTTGAAATACTTCGTCTGACATTTTGCCAACGTTAATTAAGCTGTTGTGGATAAAAGCTGTACGGTATAATTATGAGATAGGTAGTTAATTATTGATATGGACGAATTGTTTCTAAGTAAGTACTTACAGTTACAGCTAAATTAATCTCACCTTATGGCCCGCACTTCCAATAACTTATCAGACAGATCTTAAGTAGATCCAAACTTCTACACTAAGTAAGTAAGTACATGTCCGAACTCTACCTACATGCCTTCTCTACAAGCCCTAATCACAAACTCTACGCTACACATTAGTTATAAATAAATGTTTCTATGCCTTAATCAAGATATCCTTTGGGCTTTCGCAAGTTTGTGCCCCCAGATTTGTTTAGAAATCATAAATATCAATTCAAATTGTTCGCTTCAATAATTATGCAGCTAGGGACTGGAATTCGCTGCCTGTCTTTCCTGAAAACTAAAACCGGGCCTTTTCAAGGCGAGAGTGAAAGGTAATTATAGGGTAGTATGTATGTACCATCCTAGACTGCATCTTACTTAACACCAGGTACTATTGCGGCCTTAATGCATAAAAAAGTAGTCTTACTAAGTTGAGAGCCTATACTATAATACCTATAGGATGCACGTTGCGGCATCGTCTAGGAATAAGGCTGAGTTGCACCATACAAAAACGCCGATTAAAGTTATAATAGAGTTACGGTTAAAGTTAAGGTGGTGCAACTCAGCTAGGTAGGTAAATAGAATTATTTAGTTTGTTATTCAAGTAGGTAGGGTAGTTTACCTCTCGTCTCGGGCCATCTGCCTCCCATTTGTTCGCGATGCGGATGGTCTCCGCGGTCTTCTGCTGGATCGACTTGTTGTCATCGAGGAGGGTGAGCTCATAGAACTCTTGGATATCTGCAACAAGAGTTTAGGATATTTACCCCTAATGTAAAAAAGATAAGATTAAATTTCAGTTGAGAGCATGGCTGAAAGTCTTCCAAATGGTCTGATATCATTGTTTTGAAACTTTACACCCAACATTTTTGCAATGCCACCATCCCACTTCTGTCAATTAAGAGATTATAAATGAGATGATTAACTTCGTAAAATTAACCATTGACAATGAGTAGAATTTATTTTTCAGGTAATGATTCCTCATTTTCATTCTGTTACAAAAGCTTTGTAGAGAAAGTATGCTAAACGGTCTGGCCTACTGAAACAAGCATTTTATCTAAAGCAGTAATCTAACAACGCTGCCAGGGCTGTCACCTGTTAGGAAACATGCAGTAAAAACAAAAACGCATTGTAGTGCTCCTGAAGAAAAACATAATCGTACAACATACTTAATGTAACTTTTCAGTTTTATTTAAATTTTCTTATTTGCAAATATGACTCGTTATTAGGTACTAGTAGAGGTATGCGCCTACTACTTAATTCAATAGGTTCGGTATCAATGTTAGTTTTTGTTTTCAAGATTTTTATAGAACTTAAGACTGCGTAGATAAGCATAGAGCTCTTTAAATAATTTCAATGATAGAGTTACATGAAAGCTAAAGTTGACAAATTAAATTAAGGTTACACGTCCGGGTTTTACATTTTACCGTATTATCCATACATAAATAGCTTCTGCTTATTTCATGTTAGTTATTTCTGGATAGCAAAACCAATGAATGAACTGATCCCGAGCCGTTGAAAGGTGTATTCAAAAGGTTTCCCTTCATAAACTTACGAGTCATACTTAAGTACATGGGTATGTCTTGTACATGTACATATCTCCGGTTGAGCGTGAATAAATAACCCAATTGCTCACCGATGGCCAACAGCTCCAACCCTGAGCTGGTCGGAGGTTCGCGTGAGCGTCGCGTCAAGATCGATACTGAATCGGCCGCCGACCCCTGCTTTACCCCGTTCAGTCTCTATTATTATGAACTGAAACAGCCTGAATGTAATGTGACGTATTTTGTTTATGAATGTATGCCTTCAGCACAGAACATAAACCTCTTTCTATGTTCTGTGGCCTTCAGGACGAGAAAATTATGCAGTGGCGGGAGTTTGAAATGAAGATTCGAAAGAATTTCGTTTTCATGTTTTCTAACCTACATAGACTAGAACTAAGTAGGGTTTCCAATATAAAAGTTTTTCAAATGTAACTTATATTATGTACCTACCTAAGTTCACACAAGTTATGTATCTCAATACAGTCAACTTTGGAACTTATTTGGCAAAGTTAAACAAAACAATGGAACTTTCCATCTATGTTGGTAGAAGAAACAGTAAAAGTGTACTTAAATTTAGATTTGTTTACCTTTTGCTACCTGCTAAAATCTATTTAGGACCTCATGAAAATTTCGGGATTTCACCATTACTTAGTTCAGTAATCTACTATATAAAAATAAGTCGGGTTTTCCCCCCTGACGCTATAACTCCAGAACGCACGAACCGATTTCCACGGTTTTGCATTCGTTGGAAAGGTCTCGGGCTCTGTGAGGTTTATAGCAAAGAAAATTCGGGAAAAGGGGGTAAAACGGGATCCACACGTACGAAGTCGCGGGCGGCCGCTAGTTTTATATAATAAAATTTTAACTATAAGATCGTCGCGTCGTTTGTTAAGTTGCTTCGTGTTACCTAAATAAAATCTTGTGCCTCTGATAATGGTTGGTATTTGGAAGGTATCATAGGAGATGACAGATGAGTTTTGTGTAAAATATTGTAATTCTATAAAATAAAATCGAACATTAAAAATTGTAATAGGTAAGTATGTAGGTACCTAGTTTATTGTATCAATAATGAGAACTTTTTACGTCAGAGGGCCTTTACACAGATACTATTGATCCTATCCTACTAATATTATAAATGCGAAAGTTTGGATGTCTGGATGGATGTTTGTTACTCTTTCACGCAAAAACTACTGAATAGATTTTGATGAAACTTTACAGCATTATTCTTTATAACCCAGAATAACATATAGATAGGCTATAATTTATGACGATCTGTGGCAAACTAAATTTCACGCGGGTGAAGCCGCGGGAAAAAGCTAGTTGTAAAATATTATCATATTCACTCGGGATTTCCTTTTTTGGGTGTGTTGTTTTGTTCTAAATAGCTTTCACGAAGTTTTACCCTGCAGTCGCTCAACCGCGTTAAACTGGCTTTGCAAACTTTAGTTAGCTGCTACAGATTTTACTAGAAGTCGCAGTAGCATTATACGAGTAACTTGATGTAACTAACCTATAAATTTCTGACTAGGTATCTTATTTGTAGGTCTACATGTAGGTGTATAGCACATTAACAGCTCCACACTGTGTTTGTTAATTACAGTTTGGAAAACTGAAGTTCTCTCAAAGATGTAAAGAAAAGCCTGGCATTAAACTCTATGAAATCCAACTTTTGCACATGAAGTGATGTTTGGTAGACTTAATATCGGGTGGAACTCTCCACTAGTCTCTACCAATCAACCACAGATCATATTGAGAAACATTGTATAAAAAAATAGTTTCTGCCTAAGATTTCGCCTACGTGGACTTGAAGGAAAGGGAAGCAACATAATAACGAATAAAATAGGTAAATCAGCCAAACCAGTAGAGCTGTATACAAGAGTCGCTCTACGAGATTCATAGGCACGCGTAGGTACCTACTATGGCAATTGATTTTTAATCGAATAAATTATAAAATGCTATCCAACTAGTTTTATTTTTTGTTATTGCTTAGTTAGTGTAGTGTGCAAAAAAAGAGAATTCTTCCAATACTCATTAGATACCTAGACTATTATTTATGCGGTGTTGAAATGACCATTTTCATTCGCTTTAATTACCATGGGCTATTACGTTACCCTTTACTTTACTCGACCTTAAATTGACATTACGTTACGTTAGGTAAGTGAATGAATAGTTCAACATATAGGTGGGTATTCGATATTCCAACTGCCCGGCTACTTGAATCGATAGTCGTTAGGTATATTCGGAGTAAAGTTCAGGTGGATGGTTATTTTTCAATTAAAATGTCCAGCAGTGAATTGTGCCATCGACAGGGTCCGTTGTACCCGGTGACCCATATCTGGGCATCTGGGTCAAACGGCCCATCGCACACATCGCAGGTCGAAAACGCACGGCCTACCCAACTATTAATTGGGATCTGAAGAGGCCGATATTATTCGGACCCGACTGCATCGTTCGAATTCAGAATGTCAGACGTGAAGTAATGTAAAAATGCTTCTTTGTATGCCGAACACTGATGATGATGAGATGCCGAGGGCTTAGAGTAAGCGCACACCGTTGATTTTTCGTCGGCCGATAGTTTAGTCGGGCAGTTGATCAGTATGGGTACACTCCCATACATATGGGAGTGCGCACACTACGCCGATTCGATTTGGCCGATTCTTCATAACTACAATTTAAAATCGGCCGCACAACTATCGGCCAACTAAAAATCAACGGAGTGCGCCTACTCTTACATTACGTTTTATTTAGATAGAAGTCTGTGGTTTGGTCTGGTGATTTGGCTCCAACTGGTGGTTAGGGAACTGGGTAGTGAATGAACTCAATTTTCTATAAAGAAAGCCGTTGACCGATAGAGCTACGTCAGACATCTGGCCACTAAGTAGGTACTTAAAAGAAAATTCGATGCTAAGTAGGTATGGGTACAACCTAATTCTTCCTTTAAATAAGAGATACCTATTGTCAGAAACCATGGTCTATCTTCTAGCAAATGAGACTGGGCAAGATAAACTATAGACAATCACATTCAAAATGTTTACGTAACTTTTAAGTTATTCTGTGTATGAAAATTCAGTTCACCATAGCGAAAATTCCAGGTAACCGTAGTACTTTTCGTAGCATCTAGCGCTGTAGCTACGTACCGTTTGCACCCTGTCTAGTCTGGAGTAAAAAAAGTGCTACGAATTACAGCTCCGAACGCGTGCTACGACTACGAGTGAAAATAAAATAAGTTTTATAATGTCACGACACGACCTAACTACATACAATACCTACATCTAGTTTGCGTGTTGGAGAATGCACTTTTCTTGTACAGTTCAATGAACTTGTACCTACTGTGAGTGGCGTTTGAAGTTACGTTATGATATTCTTATCAGAAAATAGATCATTGTGAATTCAGGCGCATCATATTGTTACTATACTTAAGTAGAGAATAAAAGAAAACAAAACTTCACTAGAAGGTGTTGTAATGTAATTAATCAGCCTACAACATGAACATGTGAGAAAATCCTAACTGCCTCATTGTTTACTAGCAAAAACGTGATAATTTAAATGAATAATATCAGCAATGTCAAAGTAGTTCTGCTTATCGCAGAGTTCATCAGAAATAATTTCTAACGAAATAAACAAATGTACAGATTGTTGACACAAATAGCTCTCTTATCGTGAGTCTGAACAATCGCGTGTCGATTCGATCCGCTCTTTTTTGTTGCTGTATTTTGAGGCGGTAAAACAAGTTCGTTTTTACAAAGGTTTAGGTTTTAATACCTTGTTTGTCTGGGTAGTTAATGACTACAGTTCTGTCTACATATTGATTACCTAGTCTCACTAGTCCCAATGCCACGTGGAGTTTGCGGTTAGAATAGCCAATGCGAACAGACGTCTGTGATTGTGTCCATATTGACAATTAGATTGTATTACATCTCAGTCCCGACTCTCGAGCAAACAATACCTTACAACAATTACATGCCTCTATGTAGTATACCTACATTAATACACATATACCTTTAACAACTATCTCTGGAACAATGCTGGAGAGCGAGCGAACCCACTCGTACAGTCGCAAAACAAAGTGACTCGAAGGTATCCATTACAGGCTTTTGAAAATACATTAAAATGTCTCTCTTAATAAACGGTAAAAGGGGCTTAGAAATTGTAAAAAAAGAGGCAGTAAATGCCCAAACCACACTTTTTGGTCACAACTCCAGTTTCTAAACCGAAAACAGTAGTTATGTTATACCTACCTAATTTTAAATTATGTTTTAGGTCAAAAAGGTAGTTATGTTAATGTAGAGTTTGATATTTAATGTTTGTTTGTATTTATGCAAACGAAGATAGTTGCCTATCAAATACTATTAAGTATTTATGAGACTTACGTAAACAAATAGCAATATTGACAATATATATTCCTTTCTTCTTTCATTGTGAATGAGTACCTAGTTACTTTTGAATTATAACGACAACGTTCATAAATAAATATTAACGTTCGTACGTATTACCCACAGGATCTACATAGCACACATACCTAGAACACATCCGCAATATTCATTCAGTAATTGGAGATACAATAATAGGTGTATCCTCTTTATACGAGAATTCTACATTAATATACCCTACCTGCATTCATTAAGGTACCCATTCCTTCTCTACATCGTAACGCAATGCAAGATGGATTTTCAAGAAGAGATTTCCAATGATTTAACCGATTTCATTCTTTTCATTACTATTAAGTATTCCTTAAAACTAGTATTGTTCTGTTCAGTAGGTAGAGTCTCCGATATACTTATCAGTTTAAACCAAACAACAAGCCATGTGTATAAATTATTATTTCACAGTTGATAACGTTTACGTATTGATTCGATATGACGTACCTACGTCATGTGCGTATGAGTTGGTTAGTTTTGGTTTTTTCTCGTTAGATTCTACGGATTAGTTGGAAAGTTACAAGTAACATTAATATAACATGGTAACTCATTTTCTTTTAATATTTTTGGAAGCAGGAAGAATACATATGTAGAGCTATGTGATACCTATCTATGTTACGGCAGTTTACACAAAGGAACAATGGGGAAACTGAATGCATTACATTTACTTCAGTTAGGCTAATGTTTTCTAAAATATTCCTTCTACCTTTCCAGTCAACTATCTGTCGCTATGTAACGAAAGATAAACTTTTTACAAAATATCGATTTCTCTGGGATGAGAAGACAAAGACGGTGTTCTAGTTAAAACAATGTTATAGTAGTCTTTTTTTTGTGAATGTGGGTTAGGCTTTTATTCAGTGAACTAGTTCAGTGAATAAACCAACATGCAGTGCCTTTTCTCTTACAAATCGTTGTCGAACTAAGCCTATGAGCGTATGTGCAGTGAAGCCCATGTGACGCAGGCTGCAATCAAGTACTCGTTCACCGGGGCAAGGTTAATCCAATGTAGCGTTGCCACTTTAGCCAAAACCTTCAGCAATATACTCTCTATTAACCACTTAATAAGGTTCACAATTAAAATTTATTATGCTGCCCGCTTGATCTCAATACGAAGTAGCTACCTACTTACGGAGAAAATCGCTGTCGTTATTATGATGATTGCAGCGCAATGTGTGTACCTAACGTGATTGACCGATTTAGTTAGATGCCAGTTTCAATTTATGTCAAAATAAATACGCACCTACATAAATTGTAAAGAAAGACTCAAGTCAGCTTAATAATAGCCCTATTTGCATAATCGGTCGTGTTTTCAATAATTCTATTCAGCTAGAAAACTACTTAGTTTCATAATTGCGAACTAGATAGTTTCTAATTAGATAGGTATTATCTAGATTTAGTAATTTTGCTAAATTTTACTTTTCCATTACCAGCTCTACATTTAGAACGTACCTTAAGTATTTGCAAATGGCTCTACAACAGAAAAAGGAACGTTGGTTTCATTTGAACTTGGTTTAGTTAAAAGTATAGAATAGGAGCTGGATTCAAAAATAAAATACAACCTTGTATGTAACCAAATTATTAATCAAGTGTCGTCACGCTATCGAACGGAACCCTCATGAAAAGTCCCGTTTACAATTGATCTCGCGTCTCGAGTAGCCAGTCTACCTTCTATTTTCATTTAACCGAGCCAGTCAGAGCGTGTTTATCTGATATCAAACGGCGTCCAACGTTCATTGCAACGGCTAAATATAATGCGGATCACAATACTACTGTATGTCGTGGTCAAGGAGCGCTCAAGAGCGCTAGTGACGCGTGGTCACGCGCACCTTTGTATTTATTTATAGACGGTACAGGTTCAGGAAAATTTGGTGGTTAAGTTATAAAATTGATAAAAGTCAACCATAGTTAGTACATAACGGGAATAATTAACTAACTACCTAATTATTTTTTCAATATCACGTGAATGATTAGCGTCCGATTAACGACGTACGGCTAGTCAATGCAAAACGTTTTGTTTGGGAAATGGGAGTCGACAACCACAGCACACCGCGTCTGAAGAAAAATATTTTTAAGCACCAAACACGTGGCCACCAAAATAAGTCTAAGGTCTGAAACACCACAATTTAGGCGGTATTATCGCTAGAAAGCGATCTCTTCCCTTTCTAGAAGAGATCTAGAGAGATGACAGTTGGTTATTTTGAGGTAAAAATGAGAAGGTTTATATATGTTACAGGAAATGTATGAAATCCGTCATTGTATACAATTCCTAGGATTTGTGTATAAGTCCTAAAATCACCCGGAAATGTGTGATGTAAATTATATTAGACACATTTCCTAGGAAATTTACACATTTCCTAAACAGCAATCGGAAATGTAATTAAGATTTCTTTTTTTTCTCCGAAACTTAAATGGCGCTACCGCGCCGCGGCCGCTGTGTATGTGTAAGGTCGCAAGTCTAACCTAACCTAACCGAGACTTTGTTATCCAGCTACAGGAGTACTAAAACCTTCATGCCAATCATAGTTTAATAAAAGAGATGTTATAATGAGGGTTTTCCAATACTTCAGCGTAATATGCGTGATGCCGAAAGAAAGGTATGCCAATAGGCAAATATTTTTTTCAGCCAAAGTATAATAGTGCGAAAACAACTTTCAGGCTAAACGATAATAGTTGTGAGTTAAAAGTACCTATCGGCCAATGTGGTTTGGCTAATGGAAATTTTAGGCGTACTGAGGGGCACCCGATCACACGACCACGCTTGTGCCGCTTAGTTTTATACATTTCCTAATACAATATTGGAATTCTATAAAATTCCTAGGAAAAGTATACATGTCCTAGGATATGTGCGTATTAAAAAATCTCTGAAGCAATATTTTATACATTTCCTAAATAGCTTCGGAATTGTATACATTTCCTAGGAATAGCATACAATTCCTAGAATTCATACATTTCCTGTAACATATATAAATACGATTTATTTAGCAGCTAGGTAATAATAACAAAAAAAGTCTGCAAATTATAGTTAGTTAGTCATATGTTTAATCCATACATACCAAGAAGAGCTTGGAACAGTCTGGATTTGAATATCCTGATGACCCTCTCTATTGCCAGTCGCAACTGCCGATCCTGGGGCTTCACCAACTTGCTGTGGTAATCTTCCAGCAGTTCTAATGCTCGGTGGGCCTCTGCATAAACAACGAATAAATAAATAAATAAACACCTCCCTCAACACCCACAAAACTGCCAGAATATTTTAGTACTTTCGAAAGATTGAGAGTCATAAAATATGAACAGTCTTCACTGTCAGTCTTCAAAATACCTTTGTCGTTGATATTTTAGAAATAATTAAAATATTAAGATACTACGAAATATTAAAATCGAGAAGCTTGGAAATATACTGTAGTGTCCGTAGCAACCCGAATGATTATTATCTTTCGTAATTTATTAGGTACTCAGTTTGTATCTAGCTGCAGTAACATTAAAAATGTTTTTATTTATTTGTAACTGAATTTAATAGAATGAAACTGATATGATTAGTCTGAATATCAGTTATTAAATACATATTATTATGAAGGTAAAGAAAGTACGATCTGTTATATTTTATGTAGAGGGTCTAGAAGCATAGCTCTATACTAACGCGATTTCCTTTCTGTCTGATTCTGAATGTTTTTAATAATAATAATATGTAAGCCTAAGTTAAATATCTCGAGAAGTCAGATGTTATTAAATAAGTAAGACTTGTAACATTAATAACATATATTTTTTTACATAAAATAGGTATACCACCCGCACAATAGGTTAGTTAAGCTAGTAAAGTTTCCGATTGAAATCACTAATGCTCTACATTACGTCCTATTTCTTGAGTTGGTAAATGACTTAAAAAATCAGTAGCAGAATTAGTAAAATATGCCTAGCGGTTGGCAACACCATCAGCAGCTATCGATACGAATCAACACGAGGGGTGCTTCGGGCCTTACGTACCCCTCTCGACATAAAATTACGTGCTGAATTGGGGTAGCGAACTCTATAGACGTGATCAATGCCATGAATTAATAAAACGAAATCTATTTTAATAAAAAACAACTTCACCTTGCTTACGCACTGGCATCACGGCACCACCCCCTAACGTAATTTTAGAAACCTATTAGATTGAGACAAAAATAAAACCAAAAACAATTTCACAGCAACGTAGAGATTTTGGTGCACATTTTAAACGATTTTCATATCGGAAAAGCACATTTTTGAACGGCACATATTGTCGCAAAACGAAAACATTTAGAGGATGATGTGCGAAGTGATGCGCGGTATAGCGACACTGGCTCTGCTATCGAGGGCCACCGACTACTGTGCCCAATGGGATTGGTCGATTTTCACTGTGACGTCAGGGGGTGGAAGCATAGACAATGAAAATCGTAGAATCAAGGGTAGGGGTGAAAAAGTGTGTCGCAAGGTTGCCAGACAATAAAATCTTATTCGCAAGTAGACTTAGCGATTATTTTTATGCATCGAGATTATTCTTTCAGCCCATTTCAGCCGCATATCAAACAATATGTAGGTAAGTAATAAATTTATCTTCGTATGGCACTAAACTTACTGTTTTCTTCCTGGGGAAATTAATTTGTATAACATTTCCTACTTTAAATTGCTTATCGAAATGCCAACATATTGCAGAGCAATGTAATCAATTTGGTTCAGAAAACATTAGATCGTTACATATTAGTTCTACCCTATGAAGATGAAAAAGTAGAGTAGGGGAAAATTCGAATTTAAGTCTCGTTTTATCAACGATCGACCATAATATCGATCGGCCTAAATAGGCATTTTTCAATTTATTGTGATTTGTACGTGCTCATTTCCATTTTCATTAACAAATATGATAATATGGTAGGTTTCTTTGCTAGAGATCACAAAAGATGCTTTTCTTAAACCCATTATTACGCTCGAAACATACTTGATTAAGTAGGTAAGTATTTACTCAGTAACCTAGACATAAAATGAACATCTAAATATATATATCTCAAAGGTGTGTGACTGACTGACTGACTGACTGACTGATATAGTGATCTATCAACGCACAACCCAAACCACTGGACGGATCGGGCTGAAAGGCATGCATATAGATGTTATGACGTAGGCATCCGCTAAGAAAGGATTTTACGAAACTCCACCCATACCTAAGGGGGTAAAACGGGAGCCACGCGTACGAAGTCGCGGGCGGCCGCTAAGTAGTTAGGTAGTTATATACTCGTAGTATAGGAACTAATGTAACACCTGTTTAGCTGTCCGACAACGAACAGCAACGTCTGGCCGTTTGCCATCCGGAAGTGAGTTTAGATGGTAGGTAGTTGCGAATCAGATTCCGATCAGGGAGGCGATTCTCACGTAATACTTACTCCTAGAGATTATTATGAAAAATAGTCACTTATTAAAAAATAATCCTACTAATATTATAAATGCGAAAGTTTGGATGTCTGGATGTTTGTTACTCTTTCACGCAAAAACTACAGAACGGATTTTGATGAAACTTTACAGCATAATTGTTTATAGCCCAGATTAACATATAGGCTATAATTTATGACGATCTGTGACAAACTAAATTTCACGCGGGTGAAGCCGCGGGCAAGAGCTTATAGTAATTCATAGTGTTCTCAAAAAGTTTAATATTTGTAATCATAATCACAAAAAAAACAAGATAAGTATTCATTGAATATCGGGAGTCCTCCTTCCCTAAACTGAAGGTAGACGGATGTTAACTGAAGTTAATGGATATGTAGGTATGCGAACTGGTTCCTCCTTCTTTTTAAAGAGTGAATCAAGCACAGCGTGAACCAGTTACAGGGTAACCTTGTACACTTCGTTTTGTCACCTTTGGAGGAAGGCAGGTTATGTGGGGCTCGAATCCACTAAACATCTGGGGTATTCCGTTTGCCGCATAGTGGTCGGCGGCGTTTTGGGTAAGGTACTAGAAACGATCCGAATCCGACCAAGGCGCCTTCCGCCGACTCACCATGCCCCCACTAGGTCAAAATAGGGGCCGACAGGATTAACTGGGACCAGGAGGTCAATCCCGTTCAACGGTGATGGTAGCCTATGCAATGCAGGAGGACGCGCCCACGCCACCAAGGGGATTGTGTGGTGCCTTGTGTAGCCAGCTTTTAGTATTGTTTATGGTTTAAAGACATTTACGCCCGTATTCACAAATGATGCTTGCTTAAGTGCAGCAGCAAATCGAACGCACTGCGTTGAATAGAGCTTTATGGATAGATTGGTTCATGTGTCATCCTGTGCGTCCACGCGCACTGTGAGACCTCATAGTAATGTTTGTGAATACAGGCCTTATTCATAAAGACAAATTATGCCAATTATATGAGAACACAGTAAAACAAAACAAAGACAAAATCGTTGTCGAACATAAAATAAATGAAATACATAAAATAGATAAAATAAAAGAAATGAGGAGATCCGCAGGAGAACCAAAGTAACCGACATAGCTCGCAGAATTGCTAAAATCACGTGGCAGTGGGCAGNAAAAAATTTTTTTTCATCAAACACATACGTGTGGGGTATCTATGGATAGGTCTTCAAAAATGATATCGAGGTTTCTAAAACATTTTTTTTCTAAACCGAACAGTTTGCGTGACAGACTCTTCCAAAGTGGAAAAAAGTTGGTCCCCCCCCTAACTTCTAAAATAAGAAAATGAAAAATCTAAAAAAACATAATATGATGTACTATCGGGGACTCGAACGCCTTGACACCTTAAGGGCCTAAATTGTTTGCACACACACGCTCGATTAAACTCCGCCCCCGTTCATTCATGTTTCGGGTCTAAGCAGCGTCGGCGCATCACTGTAGATGTTTGCCCTAGCAAACCAAGCTCTATGTAAAGCACTTAGGATTGAGTATTGCTTATTACCCGCATCCGTAGCGCTCGTTTTGGCGACCTGAAGACGGATTTTATGAAATAATAAAAAAAAGGGTCAAAGGTCTATACATTGACAGTTTCTGATTTCTTGATTCAGTGATTATTTTTAAAGGAATATTGCGCCAAAGAATAATGTTCGTCACTTAAAACCGTGTTGTTGCTTAATTTTGTGTCTGATTATGGCTGAATTTGTTTGGAAAAAAATATATATTTATTTTTAACTACATTGTTTAGCTATCAAGAATTTATATTTAATAGTCATTGTTCGTATTATGATATTGTCATCTCCACCTTGTATACATTTTTTCAAAATTTTTGATGCGCGAGGCCCCTTGTACCGCGAGGCCGTAGGCGGTGGCCCACGTCGCCTACGCCTTACGCCGCCTCTGGCAGTGGGCGGCGCACATATCTCGTAGAGACGATGGCCGTTGGGGCAGGAAAGTTCTCGAGTGGCGACCACGGGCTGGAAGACGTAGCGTGGGCATTTGGGCAAGCCCCCTATTAGGTGGACCGACGATCTGGTAAAGGTCGCGGGAAAAGCCTGGATGCGGGCAGCGCAGGACCGTTCATTGTGGAAAACCTTGGGGGAGGCCTTTGTCCAGCAGTGGACGTCATTTGGCTGAAACGACGACGACGACGACGACGACATAAAATAAATAACAATTAAAATACAGTAGTACATACTATTACATAGTATAGGTACCTACGCTGGACATATTAAATGGTAAGATCCAGACGTTACTATTTTCATGTATTTTGAAGAAAAGGTCTACAAAACACAAATACGTATAAAAATCCAGGTCACAAAAAATAACACTAATTATGCATAGAACGAAACGTTCAATCCGATTACAAGTACCACAAACTTAATGAATGTGACGAAAAATGGAACTAAAGTTATTTCTAGTAAAATTAACATATTTTGACAGCTTTGCACGGAACTAGCGCCATCGATTAGACAGATGTTGCCCGTGTGTGCACTGCTGCTGCCATTGGCTGCCATCTTCGGCTGCCACAGCACAGGATTTTTGACAAGTTGTCTGACCTTGGGCGCCCTGCGCAACATTCCGTTCCGTTTATCCGTGAATTGCCGTGAAGCCAGCCGAGTACGAAATATTGTTCTCTGTTCAGTCTCGGTTATTATCTGCTGTATGTATGTACGTAGATATTTTTGTTAAAGATTAAAGTAGTAGGTGCTTAGTGTAGTGCGTTCCGCTTGGGGCACAAAGATGCCTCTTTTCGGCAAAAAAGATTTTGGAAGAAAATCTAAAAAGGACAGCAGAGATTCGGAGAAGCCCCCATCTATCGAAGACAAATATGTAGTCAAGGATCTGTTAGGCACAGGAGCCTTTTCGGAGGTGCGTCTAATAGAAAGCAAAGAAAACGGTCAGCTATATGCGTGCAAAATTATCGATAAGAAGGCCCTGAAAGGAAAGGAAGACTCGTTAGAGAATGAAATAAGAGTGTTGAAGAGATTTAGTGAGCAGGCAAAGGGTGAGGGTGCAGAGAAGAAGATGTTTTCTCATCCAAATATTGTCCAGCTGTTGGAAACATATGAAGATAAAAATAAGGTTTATCTTGTGATGGAGTTGGTAACAGGTGGTGAATTGTTCGATCGTATCGTCGAGAAGGGTTCGTACACTGAAAAAGACGCGTCAGTCCTGATCAGACAAGTGTTGGAAGCTGTGGACTACATGCACTCTCAAGGGGTGGTGCACAGAGATTTGAAGCCTGAAAACCTGCTGTACTACAGTGCCGATGAGGACAGTAAAATTATGATCAGTGACTTTGGTTTATCCAAGATTGAGGACTCTGGGATTATGGCAACAGCTTGTGGAACCCCCGGTTATGTTGCGCCTGAAGTGTTGGCACAGAAACCGTATGGAAAGGCGGTCGATGTGTGGAGTATAGGCGTTATATCGTACATCTTGCTCTGTGGATATCCTCCATTCTATGATGAAAATGATGCAAATCTTTTTGCACAAATATTGAAAGGAGATTTTGAATTTGACTCACCATACTGGGATGACATTAGTGATTCTGCCAAGGATTTCATCCGGCATTTGATGTGTGTTGACGTTGACAAGAGGTACACATGCAAGTAAGTATTCTTCTTATTTATTATTCTCAAGTTTTATTCTAAACTTTATTTTTTTATTATAACATTATAATGCTTTTGAAATCCTCATTTAATGTTATGAGGATTTCAAAAGCCAAAGCTCTAGTTCAACAACTGCTAGGCTAGCTATATTATTTTCTCTTTATCTGCTATCATATTTCCCAAATGAAAGTTAAACAAATGCTGTAGATGTTTGGCCCGGGAAATGCTCTGCTGCGGGCCTGTACTCTGGCTTTATGCTTTAATCATGCCTTAATTTTGCAAATTTTTAAATACAGGCTATATTCTTTGAAATATTTTAAGAAAATAATGTTTATGATACAATAATATAAATCTAATTGGACCTTGCAAATTTGGATTGGATCTATCAAGCCTTACAAGGCCTCAGTATGTCCCTCGTCACACCAACACCTAAACCCTAATAATGTGTATTATTGTAGATGAAAAATAGGCACTTTGACTTGACTAAATTTTGTTATGAATTTTGCAGCAATTAGTGATAGTTTTCTGATTCATTAATCAATGTTTGTAAACAACAGATAATTTTAAATAATTACAGAATTACTTAACAGATTTTTTATAAACAAATCAAGAGATTTAAATCACTCAACTCTAGTTCCAAATCTCCATTAGTCCTAATATAGGCTTAACTCAACTAATCAAATATTAAAATGGTCATGGAGTTAAAATTAGTTTGGATTAATACAAAAGTTATTAATTCAAGCATTTTAAATTTTACAGGCAGGCTCTTGCACACCCATGGATCTCTGGAAATGCAGCCAGCAACAAGAATATCCATGGAACTGTATCCGAGCAGCTCAAAAAGAATTTCGCGAAGTCCCGCTGGAAACAGGCATACCATGCGACTACGGTGATTCGTCAAATGCAGAAGATGGCACTGAACAGCAGCAGCTCAAGCCGCAACTCTAGCGCGCAGTCCAAGCAATAGCTGCCTCAGCCGATACTCCTTTCCCCATAACAAGATACGTCTGCTTAATAAGGTACTTAATATTAACAAGTATAACATTTTAACATGACAAGTTGACTTAAAACAACTCTCCTATTAATAATGTCTGTGGCTTTTATTAAATTGATAGATGTGCCACACTAATGGAAGTTCATTGTCCAAACTGTTGACGCGCCTCTGATTTGTGTCATCGCTAAATATAATAATGACACAAATTGTATTATCAGCGCTTGAAACTTTTAATTGGAGCAGTGCTTATAAATGTTATTAAGCATAATATTTAGGTAATGAATGGAAGCATCGAACTGTTTTTAAAACATTATACCTAGTCATTCTATAATTTCTGATGGATATTGATATGACCTGTTAATAAAACTTAAAGCTACTCTAAATTTTATCTCAATTATACAACTTTACTATTTTCTTAAAAATGACTACTTACATACCATACCTAATTTTAATTAGGAACATTCTTCTTATAATGTTCAGTGGAACCTACGAATCTCATGGGAACCTTGTGTCTATGATCTGTAATAGTAGCAACATGACACTGTATCATATGTATCATAAAAAGTTATCTATCAAAATAATTTTTAAATATTCTGTACTTCACTTTTTGAATGATAACAAAATAATTAGGTAGGTTAAACAATGTTCTCTTTAAAGATACTGACTAATATATTAAGGTATGGTGATAATCACATAAAATATACTTAATTGTAAGATCTGTTTCAAAACCATTAGAGTTAAATCATAAAAATGACGAATATTTACAAATTAATGTGGTTAAAATGTATTGCAAAGTACTGTCAGTTCTGTAATATGCTCCAAGTTTGATATCAATTTGAAAGTTTTATCCTGTTGGTAACTGAAAAAAAAAACATAAAACATTAATGAAATTGCATATTAAATTCCGAGGGCATATTTCAGAAGAGGCGCGACTCAAGTCATTCATTAGGCTACAATCGGTGCAATGTAAAAGTAACCATTTCGGCAAAGTTGTATAACATGCACAACATAGTCAAATGACGTGCAACACTGCAGTGTGTGTTGATCTTCATACACGACTGATCACGTATGGATTCGCGTCATTCGCCAAGGCATTGCTACATGTAGTGCGTCAATTATTGTCAAATGAATAACTTTGTGCACTGCATGAATATTAGGCGTAATAAGACCGCCTCCACCCATGTTATTGCATTGAAAATTTTATGTATACCTATCTAATTAAACCTATTTAATCCTTGAAATTTCGAGTACCTAGTAGTTGTTTTAAAATATTAAACAAATCATATAATCTTATACCTAGAGTAAGTTTCCGATTCTAAAGTTATGTCCTTCCTATACTGAAATTTTCACGACGTCTATATTCACTAGGCTGGTTGTTTATTGGTACGGGATATCTATTTGAAAATAGTCTGTGGGATCTCTCTGAAACTATTTGCGATAGGTCACAATTATCATCCTGTATAATAGGCTAGATGACAAAATTTCAATTATTAGTCCGTCAGACAGATAATTAGAAAATATTAAACCCATATTTTTTATTTTCTTTCATTATTAAATAATAACAGTGCTACTTCGAGTTGAAATGGCGCGTTATGTCACGCTTGAGTAGAATTTTTACTCAAAAGTGACGTCACGCGACATTTCAACTCAATATAATACTGTAATTATTCGATTATGAAAAAAATTCAAGAATATGTGTCCAAAATTTTTTTATTATCTGTCTGACGGACTAAATAGAATTTCGATTTCATTACCCAGTCATCATCCCTATTGCATAATTGCAAAATTATCATCACAATAAATATTTTAAATCCAATCTAACCAAACTAGATTTCTTTGTTTGCAAATTATAAATCTACCATTGGTTTTAACAAGGAAAAACATGGATCCTTCGAATATTTGTGATATATTCAGATTTGCACCCACTCACTTTTTTCAAATGTTTTCCCTGAATTTTATAGCACTGTTGGATTTAATGTTATCGTAGGTAGTAATATTTTAAACCTGCATGTTGTATGAATAACCTAATAAATTAGTGCATCATATCCATAATATTTTCTCGTTATTGCATAGGCCTAATTTTATGGACTTGCTTTGACGTGTAATAATAACTTCATGCTGGCTTGGTTATCACATCATTGTCAATGAGTTGGGGGTGTGGCATAAATCAATCTCCATTAAGATCTGTCTGCAAGACTGACGTAACGCATTTTATTGATACACTAGTGTGATATCAAGATAGATCGAGGCATATCTTATATTGCTTGTACAGCTAGCATCAAAAGTAGTGGTAAGATTTTGAAAATTACTAATGTCTACTCTGACCAAACGTATTAAAGTTGTTATTGTCTCAACCATATGGTACAGACTTGAAACATGCTCTAGCGCCGCGCGCCACTGATGCTAACTGTACCTTTTTAATGTGTTTGACTCGACTTTAGCTGGCTAATTTGAATCATTCCTTAATTGACTGTGTTATTGGTATTTAACAACACTTTGGACGATTGGTTAATTTAAAGCTAAACTATGCTAATGGATGTTTTATTTTATCAAGTTATTCCAGTAAGAAACGGTCTTACTCAAAGAATAGCTCTCAAAAAGGGTCAATCGATAAAGGCGACTATTTATTTCTAATTCGCCTTCTCTGAATTATGTTTTTTCTCGACTATTTATTGTTAATCCAAAAACATTTTCTTATAATAATTTACTGCATAATTTTAAACAATCTTTTGCCAAACACGCGTTTATTAGTCACACTACTCACGCTAAACTAGTTTTAGCTGTTCTGCGGAGCAATTATAAAATAACTTTATATTTTTTCGCCCACCTTAATATTTTATATGTACTTTGATAATTTTATTGTACTCTCAAAAATTACGTCACCTTTTAATTACTTCATTATCAAAAACCAACTAATGTTTAACGGTATACAAGGCCATTTGGAAATTATCACTTTACATTCCAATTGCCAGTAGTTTCTTAACTATTTTCCTTTATTATTGAACATTCCACTTGCTAATTCTTGCGTATTATTTTAATATAATTGTTAGACAGTCACCTTTCATGATTTATTAAGTAACATCGTATAGTTTCTTTATTTAATATGTTTTTAGGATTTCATGGCTAAGCAAACATTTATACCCATCCAACATATCTTTATTTATTGCCTATATAAGGGTCCCTTATAGTTTTTCTATTATAATTTGATACCTAATTATTTTATAGGTAACCCATTGTCTTACCTACATAAAACAATTCTTGGTATTTGTTTTACATACGTTTACAATTTTTACATCAAATTATGTTAAGAATTTAAATTTTTGACATTCCATTGATTGGAGTATTACATTGAATACATTTTTAAAGCTAACGCGTAACTGTAGACTGGATTGTCAGTTAATGAATTGTTATTTTTTATGTCGCAAGGCATGTTTAATCACTAACTTATGATTAGATACAAAAAGGTCAAGACTTGGAAAAGATACATAAATTGATTTACACTCAGACAGATGATTATGTATCTTCCGTCCATAATAATTAATTTTGTAGTATTATAACAATGTGTTTTTTTTGGAATCATTTACTCAGCTGCTGATAAAAAGGGATTGAAATTTATCAATGTATTATTCGACTTTATTTCGCCAATGAGAAAGAAGATCTGTTACATTTGTAATTTAAGTGTATTAATGAACTCTCTTTCCAGTTATTTTCCATAGTCACATTTAAATCAACATTTAAGTTGTTTTTAAGCATTTTTTTATCATACACTATACAATACGGCAATATTAAAATTAATATTGCCATAATAATGCTGCTTAATTGTTATAAAGCGTTTTATTGCTTAAGTATCTAATAATTTAAGTGTATAGTGTACACGGAATATTCGTCTAAATGCGCCTTAATCTGTGTAATTAGTACTCTTTGTGGTCCTTGTAATGGATACTTTAGTTGTAAGAGTAACCTGTTGACGCTGTTATATTAGATCTGTCATAATTAAGTATTGCTTAGGCACTTTAATAAACGAATATTTATCTTTAATACTCCTACCATTGTTGTCACCTATATCTTCAAAGGTCGTAGACTAGTCATTCTTTAAAGACTTATTCAATCCTAAACGGAATTACAGAAAAATGGACCTATGCTTATGGGTGTTAGTGATCTTGACAGCGGTGGAAGAAGACAGGCTGCTGAATCAGCAACAGGGACCCAAAACTAGAGTTGTCTATGCCTAGTATGGGTACTAGAAGGCTCGAGTGCATGGTACCCCTACCAAGGGGTGAAATCAACTAAAAAGTGCCATTGTTGCTCACAGCAGTTTGGGTTTCAGACGAGTGCATAATGCAGGTCGGTTTTGTTTTATATTTATTTCAACCCATATAATCTGTAGTTCCGTTTTCTAGTTTCAAACAATTTTAACACTTGAGGACTCGCGCCTTAATTTGTAACATTCATACTCGCTACCGGGTGCGGTGGACCCAGTATATAAAATCCTATGTATTTTTCAAAAACTTAAATAAAAGTGAAAACTACTTTATTAGAAGGATAATATTATGATATAAACAAAGACAAAATAATAAACCAAATAGTCATATTTCTTGCCTTTTTCTAAAATAATAACTTATTTAAAAAATTCAAGGTTTTTTGACAAAATGAAGGTTATTTTTGAAAATTTTTGTAATTAATTATTTAAAAAAATACCTTGTTTATTTTCGTAAAGTACTATGATTTGCCTACTTATACCAATTAACAATTAATGATAAATTTGTATAGAACATTTAAAAAATCACTTTGTTTACCGGGTCCAGTGGACACAAAAACACATTTTTCGTCTGTAGCAATCACATGCAGTGGGCCATTTGACGATTATGACCGCTATTGGCTGTGCTACAATGTCGTGGAAAGGTACTAAGAGCGACAACATCGCAAACATCAAACTTTAAAAGTTATTACACAAATATTGAAGAACTGGGTCCTTTAGACCCATTAGCGAGTCCTTAAGTGTTAACGATGTAATGCAGAAATATCGATTCCGTACCTAATCGATACGAAGATAAGGTGTAGCAGTGTTCAGGAATATCTTAAGTGCCATGTTTTGTTCAATCGTGAATTTATCTTCTAATTGTGTTATTCCATGTATAGAATGACGTTTATAAATTTTAATGCTTTATCAGTGTTGTATTTAATAATATTATATTACTTATTTCTTGATTACGCACAATATTTTAAAAATGTAATAATGATTTTTAATGTTATTGGATATTTATCTACACGTAATACGACTATGATATTTACATTAGTTATAAAAATATTACTTAATCTTAGTGTTAGTGCTTGTGTTCGTTTTATGACATCCTGTTTTCTGTTTGTTGCACAAACATATCTTTTGAATTGTTTACTATACAGGGTGATTATGAAATGTATTATTCCTTCAAGGTTACACATAAGTCATTATTATGAGATTTAACGTCGAAACAGCGAAACAAATGAATATTCTAATGTTTGAAAATTTTAATTCTCAAATGCAACACTACCAAATAATAGTGTGTGAACTTTGAAGGGATTTTATATTTCAATCTGAAGATTGATGATGATGTTGGAATCTTGCCATGACTGCACATGAACATGTTTTGTGCTCTCTCTCCGTTTGTTGATGCCTCAGGCAGTTTACATCTGAAGTTAGTGAACATGTCCAAAACCACAAACTTAATTTTAGAAAAAAGTTAATATGACTTCATATAAAACACCATTTAAAAATTTGAAGTGCCTATTCTTCAACTTTTATTGTTGTGAAATTCTACCCATATCTGTGGTGAAATATCTTATTTTCGTTAGTTATTCTAATGAGGCAAAATTTGGAAAAAATGTAAGTACCTAAAGAGTAAAGATAAGTTTGAAAAAGTTCCAATTGCTTCCCTTGCTACTGATTACAAAAGTTTTATCAGAATGGCATCTAAAAATAACGAGTGTGTAGTTTACTATAGACACTATCAATATTGCCATTTTTAATGTGATATCCGTATCACTCAACATCAAAATTAAAATACGTTATCAGATGTAACTGCCACTGGGCAACGTTTAGTTATTCACTGTGCCAAAGCCATATCATAATCCGTGATAGATGTTGTATTGTAAGCGTTGACGTGTTAATATCAAATCCCACTAATATATGAGTAACTGTATGCTTTAAACTTCACCATAGTTATTCAGCACTTGTCAATCGAGTGTTTTAGAGATCTTGAAGTTCCTTGATCACTGTAATCTACTTATTTTATTTTTTCAAACTATAGTTTAGTATAAGCATAATATCTAACACATATTTCTATTTTTCGAGGGTTATTACTTATATTATGCTTTGAATAAAGATAATCATTTTAGTTATTAAATAAGCACAATAGTTTAAGGGATGGGGCGTAAATCGACAAGTTTTGTTTTCATGACAAATATTATATGTTTTTCACGTCATTGTTTTCACACTTCGATTTCTTCAGTGAAAATTGTGTAACTGTTCGTTCATGGTTTGATATACTGTTGAAATACTAATCTTGTGATTTAGATTTTATACTTCTTGTTCAAAACAATCAAAATTTATTAGTAGTGTATTAGATGTTAGCTATATTTTGAATGTCATTGTAAATAAAATGCCAACTTGTTGAGACATGTGTTTCATTCACCTTTTAGGATTCCAAGCCAATATTATACTGTGATATAAAAGTCATAATTCCACTGATGAAGATTATAATAATACATTAAATAATTATGGTATAATTTACATTGTAAGGGCTGATTTTTCAATCGTCGGATAACTTTTAACTGAAGAATAAGTTTGTCATTTTGGCATATTTCCCATACTAAACCTGTCAAAGTGCCAAACTTATTCTTCAGTTAAAAGTTATCTGACGATTGAAAAATCAGCCCTAAGTTATATTACTGAGATGGGAATGTCTATTGTATTTCTTCTCCGAGCAGAGACAGCTGTTTCAGGAATTGTGAAGCGTTCGGCAAAGTTGTAGCACCATAGATGATCTTCCTTGGAGTACCGCTCGTCGCTTGTTGCTGAAAACAAAAGACAATGTTAATCTTGATTCTTGATTGCTTGAATGTACACCATTAGCTTAGTGGCTACTTTTACATATCGTATCGAGCTCATGAAGCTCTTCCAGGATCAGTAACCAGTTTTTCCATACCTTGTAGTTTAGAAATAATCGAGTGAGATAACACCGGTCAACAAAAAAAAAAATTTTTTTTTGAGCATGGATTTTACTTATTATATTCTGATTATATAAGCAAATTTATATAAAAAATTGCGATTACAAATCAAAAATATTTGCTTTTTAAAGAGTTATAGCGATTTGAATTTTCCATCTTCATAGTAGAATGTCTCTAAAGATGCACGTCACATTCTCATTGGGATATATTTATAGCTAATTATGGGGGCTTATTCGCAAGAACAAGGGGCATGCTTTCATCAAAATATAGTGGGATTTTAGAGACGACGTTACCAAGGCCAGTAAACTGAAAGCATGATAGGGTTAGATTTTTATGAGAAAAATCTTCTATGGAACATGACAGGAAATTAGAACTTTTCATTTTTAATAAATATTTGGACTCTATTTTAAATTTTCTCTTGTGAGAATGAATCTTAAATGGATGTTTGATATGTTTTAATAATTAGAAAGAATGAAAGAAAGAAAGAAAAAAGTATATTTGGCAACAAATTAAATCATCTCTATGTTCATGTTTCATACATTCGTTGATATGAATTTTTCTATTTTTTACACATAAAAGCAAATTCAGAACAATTTTTTGTTGTAATTCTTATTTCTAGGTATTAAAGCAATAAAAATAAGCTATGCATAACCCGTGCGCAAAAATGCTGTAGACAGTTGTAATTTATCGTTTCCACCCTGTATAGTTTCTAGCTGCGTCAATGCGACGACCGGCGTCGCGGTACAAGCGGTGCGTGGGTCTATCCTAAACTATGCTTTGAGACTTAGCCGTAAGGTTAAGTCGCGTCACTACCTTGGCAAAGTCGATCAGGTTCTGACGATGTGGGTTCTTCTAATAGCGCCACCGAGGTTCGAAGTCATAATGGGCGGCGCAGGGATCCATCCTGAACTATGCTTTAAGATTAAGCTATTAGGTTCAAAGTTACTCCACCAACCTTGGCGAAGTCGATGAGGTTGTGGTACTCGATGTAGTTGCCGCCGCCCACCACGAACACCACGGCGTCTGTGGGCGACAGGTGGCGCGTTCAGCGCCCAGCCAAGTCTCGGCCTTATGAGCAACTCCGCTGGGTTCAAAGTCGCGTCGCTAACCTTGGCATAGTCGGTCTTGGTCTGACACTGTAACTGGCAATGTAGGTTCCAGCAGCATCACCATTAGGTTCGAAGTCGTGACGGCAGCGTCGGTGTAAGCGGCGCGCGAGTCCATCCGAAACTATGCCTTAAGAGTAGCCCCACTAGGTTCACAGTCGCGTCATCTTATCTTGGCAAAGTCGATCAAGTTCTCGCGCTGTAAATGACAGTAGGCGCGGCTGCGCTCGACGCGGGAGTCTAGCCTAAACTCGGCCTTATAAATAACCCCATAAGGTTTAAAGTTACTCCACCAACCTAGGCGAAGTCTATCAGGTTCTGACGCTGGAAATGACAGAGCCGGCGTGACTGCGCTCTAGCCTAAACTCAGCGTTAATAACAGCCCCATAAGGTCCAAAGTTACTCCTCCAACCTTGGTGAAGTCTATCAGGTTCTGACGCTGTAACTGGCAATGTAGGTTCCGGAACTTCCAGCAGCACCACCATTAGGTTCGAAGTCGCGTCGGTGCTCGCGGCGCGGGGTACCATCCGAAATTATGCTTTAGGACTAAGCCGTAAGGTTCAAAGTCGCATCACCAACCTTGGCAAACCCAAACCGCAGTCAGTCAGGTTTTGACGCTGTAAGTGGCAATGTAGCTTCTGGCAGAGTCACCATTAGGCTCAAAATCGACCAACTAGGTTCAAAGTCGCGTCATACTACCTTAACAAAGTTGATCAGCTTCTGACGCTGTAACTGGCAATGTAGGTTCCAGCAGCATCACCATTAGGTTCGAAGTCGTGACGGCAGCGTCGGTGTAAGGGGCGCGCGAGTCCATCCGAAATAATTATGCCTTAAGAATAGCCCCACTAGGTTCAAAGTCGCGTCATCTTATCTTGGCAAAGTCGATCAAGTTCTCGCGCTGTAAATGACAGGAGGCGCGGCTGCGCTCGACGCGGGAGTCTAGCCTAAACTCAGCGTTAATAACAGCCCCATAAGGTCCAAAGTTACTCCACCAATCTTTGTGAAGTCGATCAGGTTTTCACGCTGTAATGACAGGCGGCGTAACTGCGCTCTAGCCTAAACTCAGCGTTAATAACAGCCCCATAAGGTCCAAAGTTACTCGACCAACCTTGGCGAAGTCGATGAGGTTGTGGTACTCGATGTAGTTGCCGCCGCCCACCACGAACACCACGGCGTCTGTGGGCGGCGGCGTCGGTGCGCGCGGGCGAGGGTCCAGCCAGGTGATCTCAGCCTTAAGAGTAGCCCCACTAGGTTCAAAGTCGCGTCATCTTATCTTGGGAAAGTCGATCAAGTTCTCCGCTGTAAATGACAGGAGGCGCGGCTACGTTTGACGCGGGAGTATGGCCCAAACTCAGCGTTAATAACAGCCCCATAAGATTCAAAGTTACTTCACTAACCTTGGTAAAGTCGATCAAGTTCTCGCGCTGTAAATGACAGGAGGCGCGGCTGCGCTCGACGCGGGAGTCTAGCCTAAACTCAGCGTTAATAACAGCCCCATAAGGTCCAAAGTTACTCCACCAATCTTTGTGAAGTCGATCAGGTTTTCACGCTGTAATGACAGGCGGCGTGACTGCGCTCTAGCCTAAACTCAGCCTTAATAACAGCCCCATAAGGTCCAAAGTTACTTGACCAACCTTGGCGAAGTCTATCAGGTTCTGACGCTGTGATTGGCAATGTAGGTTCTACTAGCATCATTATTAGGTTCAAAGTCGCGACGAGCGGCGTCGGTGCAAGCGGCGCGCGAGTCCTTCCAAAATTACCTTGGCAAACCGCAGTCAGTTTCTGAGGCTGTAAGTGGCAATGTAGCTTCTGGCAGCGTCACCATTAAGCTCAAAATCGACCTACCTTGGCGAAGTCGATGAGGTTGTGGTACTCGATGTAGTTGCCGCCGCCAACCACGAACACCACGGCGTCTGTGGGCGGCGGGTGGCGGGCGGCGCGCGCGCGGGCGGCGGCGTCGGTGCGCGCGGCGCGCGGGTCCAGCCAGCTGAGGTCGGTGCTGCCTTCGCCGCTGCCGCTGCCGCCGAGAGCGGCCTCCACTGCGCGGCTTACCGGCAGTTTCTGAGGAGGTTTGTTTAATTCATACAATGTGTACCAGTTTAATTCATACAATATGCACCAGTTTAATACAATATGTTTTGACGGCATAAAATGAGTATGGTCAAATTGGTCAACCCCAAATGAAATGAGTAAAAGCACAATAGAAGACCGTCCGTGCATAAATCGTGCTGAACCAATTGAAATAAATTGGATTGGATATCCAGCGCCTTTTTAGGGTTCCGTAGCCAAATGGCAAAAAACGGAACCCTTATATTATTCTTATTCGTCATGTCTGTCTGTCTGTCCGTCCGTCTGTATGTCACAGCCATTTTTTTCCGAAACTATAAGAGCTATACTGTTGAAACTTGGTAAGTAGATGTATTCTGTGAACCGCATTAAGATTTTGATGCAAAAATAAAAAAATAAAATAATAAATATTGGGGGCCCCCATACTTAGAACTGAAACTCAAAAAATTTTTTTTCATCAAACACATACGTGTGGGGTATCTATGGATAGGTCTTCAAAAATGATATCGAGGTTTCTAAAACATTTTTTTTCTAAACCGAACAGTTTGCGTGACAGACTCTTCCAAAGTGGAAAAAAGTTGGTCCCCCCCCTAACTTCTAAAATAAGAAAATGAAAAATCTAAAAAAACATAATATGATGTACTATCGGGGACTCGAACGCCTTGACACCTTAAGGGCCTAAATTGTTTGCACACACACGCTCGATTAAACTCCGCCCCCGTTCATTCATGTTTCGGGTCTAAGCAGCGTCGGCGCATCACTGTAGATGTTTGCCCTAGCAAACCAAGCTCTATGTAAAGCATTTAGGATTGAGTATTGCTTATTACCCGCATCCGTAGCGCTCGTTTGGCAACGTCGCATTTTAGTCAATTTGAAACTACAAAATATTATATGAGGCTTCGTGTAAAATTTGAACTAGCGATTGCCCGCTCGGGTCACAAAATTGCTATCGCACATTCCGAGGTAACTATGCAATTTCCCGAGAAAAAAGTAGCCCTTTCTACAATTATTGTTGATATTATGAGTGTAAATCTCATGATATTAGTTTAGCTAGTTAGGGTGAGAAATACAAAATCATACAGTTACTTAAGAATTTTACTTATTTAATAGGTATTTAATTTATTCGGAACTTATAATTTAAAACAATATGTTATTGAATTAATTGATAAAGAGTTAAGGAATATTTGTGGCTTAAAAACAATTATTGTAAGATCTGGCTAAAACTTTCTTAAATCCTTGAATGTAAATAAAAACTTATAATAGGTTTCTATTTATTTTTAATGCATATTTTGTTTTCCGTTTTAAAGAAACACTTATCTACGTTATTAAAATTTAATATCAATATTGCACTAGGTAGCAATGATCCAGGTAATTGGTTATCGTAAATATTATAATATTAAGTTAGTTTTATTTCAAATTCAATTTTTTATTGCACATTAAGTGTCTTTACACAAGGTCTTAAATCAATAACAATTAAACTTCAAACTAAATAATACTTAAACAGTTAACAATGTATAGATAAGTTTGTAAGTAAATATAAGAATTATTTTGAGAGGCATGGTTCAGTAATCGAGCGGAGGTCAATAAAAAGGCAATCAAACAGTCCAATTACTAGCACGGGTCAACACAAATCAATCGGTTATTGATCACGAAACTTCACAAAAAAACAAAGGAGAGAATATGTCGACAGATCGCCAAAGCAAAAAGCAGACAGACCTCGTATAAAAACACAATATTAAAAAAAATACATATCTATTTGTTTGTAACCAAATTCTATTATTAAAATTCTAAGGCTGAGTTGCACCATCTTACTTTAACTTTAACAAACGTCAAAATTCTGTCAAACTCCATACAAAAAGCACCGGTTACCGTTATAGCTACGGTCAAAGTTAGGTGGTGCAACTCAGCCTAAAACTAAGAAAGATTGAAGAAAAAGAAACATTTCATTTTAAACCCTAACCGTATGACAATAAAGTGCACAATGGTATTTCGTATTGCAACCTAAGCCCTGATTGTCTCTTATTGGTCGTAGTAAAAATATAGTAAAATGCGTAACCAATTAGAGACGGGGTGAGCACGTGACCGGAGCGATGCGCTTACGCTAAAATTTCTACAAAGTGGTCAGGCGGAAGAGTCCCCGATAGTACATTACAATAAAAACTACCAACGAAAATTGTTTTGAACGAGATCTAGTAAGTAGTTTTTTTTTAATACCTCGTAAATCGTAAACCGCTTATTACCGCGTAATCTTTCATACTAATAACTTAAATAAAAAATAATAATCTTAATTAATTAATATAATAAATCAATGGTACGGAACCCTCGGTGCGCGAGTCCGACTCGCACTTGGCCGGTTTTTTTACCTTATAAGGTCATCTGTCTACTTTGTGGGCGCATTGGGTTGATGCAATTAGTGGTAATAAAAGCATTCTTTCATTGATTTAAAAAAGTCGCCTGATAATGATAATGAGAAAAAAGATTAAATAACTTACATGTTTTTTGACAACCAAATTCTTGACTCCCTCCATCACAAACGAAGAACCCTGGGAGACCAGTTTGGAAAACATAGATACTGTTTTCGTACCACCACCTTCATATTGACTGGACATCTTTGTAAAACCCCTGTAAATGAGTTATAATTGAATTAGGCACATTCAGGCATGATTTCTATCAAATCAAATGTTTTATGCATCCAAAGCGAGGGTAGAAAAAGCTTTAGATATGTGGAGAATGCGAGGTAGCCTTTAATGAGGGTTTCCTTAATGCGTTCACCAGTTGGCAGCACTAGCGAGTCTAGGTTCTATAACTTGAATGTTGCCAAGTCCAGTACGGCTAGCACGAAAAATTTTCGAGTTCGAATCGTTTGCGTATTCAAATCGCTATCAAAAGATTTAGTACGAAAACTACAACAGCGCCCTTGTGAACGTGTCGAAAAGTGAACTTAGTATGAGATGTCGTTGCACGAAACTTATTTTGAGAATAAAAATTGTCACGTTATCGTTTAATTCGAAGGTTGAGTATCGAATTCTGTCGAATACGGAAACGATTCGAAGACGGAAAGTTGTTCACGCTAGAGGTACAGTAATAACTGATAAACGCTGTAACGCTACGAGAACTATCGCATTTGCAATCGCCAGTGGCGCCAACTGGTAAGCACAATAATTAAGGAAACTCATTGTAAATAATTTAGCCTAATCATAAATAATTATTTATGTATGTATTTAAAATGTTAATGTTTGTAACTTACTTCCACCGTTTCATATACGACATCGGCTGAGTATCGCAGTTGGCGGCCACCAACGCCGCTTCGAACTTTTTATACTCGTCCTCTGGTAATTGCGAAGTACACAAGTAGTATATTATGAAGAGACGCATCTTGTCCTCAGCGGTGCCCGCTGTGGGATCCGTTATGAGGTCCATCACCGTTTTGCTTTCGACTCCACTGCTTTTACTCATTATCTTCTCTTCTAATTCGAAGAACGAGTCGAGCCGCCTTGATTTTATCGCGTTGAGGATTGCTGCAAATAAAACAAAGGTTTGTAGTTACTTTTCTATTAGAATGTTTAATAAATATTGTTGGAAAACGAAAACAGACAGTTACATTGTGGGTTCATAAGTGAAACGGAACTTACGGAACGCAAAGGACGACTGAGTGAGAGAATCAGGGAGATGATTTTTGAATGACACAAAGTCGATAATTTTCTTTCCTTGGCTGATTAATTAAACTTTTTTATTCCTACATACATATTTTTTCAGTCGTGTTTAAAGAATTTTATTAGAAGTGAAATGGATCATTTTTGTTATTATTTATCTTGTATATTGCTGTATAACTTTTTTGAGAATGGGGTAGTATCACATACGTTTTTCCTGATTGTTAACCCAATACCGTGACCTTTACATACTTGTGTCTCTGTGATTACTACAAAATATAGTTTGAAACTTTGAATTGAGCATTATTTATGCTTCGTTCGTTCGTTTCAGCCGAAAGACGTCCATTGCTGGATTTCCACAAAGACCAGTCCTGCGCCGCTCGCATCCAGGCACCTCCCGCGACCTTCACCACATCGTCGGTCCACCTAGTGGGTGGCCTGTCCACGCCACGTCTTCCGGCTCGTGGTCGCCACTCAAGAACTTTCCTGCCCCAGAGGCCATCAGCTCTACGAGCTATGTGCCGCGCCCACTGCCACTTGATTTTAGCGATTCTGCGGGCTATGTCATTCACTCTGGTTCTCCATTATGCTATCATCATCTATTTATGCTTACCAGTAGCAATAGTAGTATGCATGTCAATCAGCCGCTTCTTCTCCATAAGCTGAGGCAGCGAGTTGACGGCGCTAGTGAGCCGCTGCGTGTTGTCGCTGACCAAACTCAGTGCTAAGTCGCTGTCCGCGTCCAGACCCATGGAGCTTTTTAGCTTCTTTACTTCTGCTTCTGAACTCCTGGAGATTGATAATTTATCATTTAAGGGTTGATTTTTTAACTCAAACACAAATAGAAGTAAAAAGTTACATTACTGGAGTTTTATAGTAGGCACTTTTGCTACATGGCGATTGATGATCAGACATTGGTCTGACAAAACTAATTTATCATTATTACCTACTTTTTGTTTTATATTATACTGTTTTATCCCTGTTCATATTATAGTAAAGTGACAAACAAACAAATAACCAGTATAATGGGTGTTGTTGCTTTATTTTTTTATGGTTTCAGAGTAAAATTTTTGAAAGTTATTAATTATATTACTATGTAATGTTCCTGAATGAATAATGTGTCTCAAACCTGTATTTATCTAAATCTTCTTGTATAGCTTCTGCCACAGTGGGGAAAGGACTACCCTTGTGCTCTGCCCATAATGGATCCCTAGAGTCCAGGTCACACACTCGTGTCTTGGTTTTTTGGCCAGACACCGCCACTGCAGTGCTTTCTGGAACCAGTGCTCTGAAATCATAAAATTAAAATTGTGAAACTTATAGGTGTTACAAGAGAAGAAAAAATATGTTAATAGGTAACACTTTTAAATTACAAATGCTTAATATTTGCTACTTTGAATCAAACCATAAATAGAGTAGTGGTCAGCAGTATTGGGTATCGGAATTATTGGTTACTGGTGTCAACTACCCTTCCCATTAACTTCCATTAAAAAAGAATGCTGTGCAAGTACCTGTTGAGAGACAAATCCAGTACATCATGAGCTAAGGCTTGGTATGTCCATGTGTGATGTAAAGGTGTTGCCATATCAATATTCCTGTCTAACAGTATGAGCATAGGCCGAGTGAAACTGAAGGAGCCGGATTGACCAGTGTTGCCGTGGAATAAATTATTTCTAGCATCCCAAAGATTCTCTCTCAATTTCTTGTCTAGTTTTTTGGCCACCATTTCAGCAGCATTGCCTTTACTGCTTCTGATGATAGGAACATTACCTGGAATAGAAATTTTTTTCATAAGCTTTTGTTTTAATGATTTTTGACACAAAATTGATTTTTTTTTCTAATAGTAGTGAAATACATCTTTTGGATCACAGTGCCTGTAGATTAAGATATTTGTTTCAAACAAATTCAATCTTATTGGAAGGAATTGGTTCATGCAAACATCATCAAAATTGAAATCATTCTTGAGCACTTTGTAAATCCATTTGGGCATAAATTATTGTCATACAAGAACATGGTAATTGGCAATTACCATTACTAATTGTTAATAAAGTATAATCTAACTCACCTAGTGTGACAAAGACAGAGAACAAGCTCTCAACTATGTTGTCCATGATGGCTTCCATTTCAGTGTCTTTTGTATCACCTTTGTTGATTGCTGGGAATTAAATAAAAGCTATGAGAACACAAATTAATTCAAGCACTTCCTCATAATCATCAAATATAAAAGATAAACAGTACAATAATAACATAGGGAAAATCATTTTACCATAGTATGACAGTACATCAGATTGTTGGTGCTTCATAATGAAAAGGTCATCCTCTAAGCATATAAAATTTAAATACTGATCATAAACTTTCTGGATGTTCACAGCGGAGTTTGACTGGATCGCCGATGCAGCCAAATCTTCCAGCTTTTGCCTCGTTATGGGAGAGATGAAATTGAGGTGGTACTGATCATAGGTCCCATTGTCGAGATCTTGACATATCCTGCCCAAGTTTTCCTCAGATGGAGAACAGAAATAAACAGCTGGCACCTCAGGGATTGGATCACGGTCTGAGTGCAGCTGGCTAAAAACATTTCAAAACATGTTATTGTCTTGGCTATGAATCATTTTAACAGTATGCTATCGTCTAATCAAATTAATAATAATATATGAGCATTAACTTGACGTCACCAAGTCAACTTACACGTGAAGGGTCACTCCTAGCTCCCTCAATTCTTTAACTGATATCAAAGGTGAAATTATGTCTTGGCCGACTCTATCGTATATCAAAACCTTCCAAGTAGGTTCATTGGCTACGCCCTTAGTCAAGGGTTGATTTAAATTCAGCATCTGCTTTAAAGCATCTGAAAGAAATGGGAAAAATAGTAAATTGGAAAGGTCATCATAACATCAATTAATTCGGTTAAAAAAAGAACTGCTACTTACTCAGCTGACGTTCACGTAATGTCGTCATTGTGGTAAAATGTGTAATATGCCATCCACTTTCCCCAAATGCCGATTTTAACTTAAATTAATCTAGTTTTAGGAAATAAAACAGAACTTGATTTCGGCTAGGGCTGGAAATCAAAACGTCAAAATTTGACATAAAAATTTGACAACGACACGTCGTCCGGCTTTTCGTTCAGAAACATGACTCATCAATAATATTTTAAAATGTTTGTACAGCTTTTTTTAATTGTAAAAAAGCGTAAAATTTTGTAGAGTAGATTAATAATTATTAAAATAATCAATTTAATCTACGCAGCCACTCTAAAATAAAAAAATACAACTATTTTTTTTACAGATTGGCCAAAATGTAATGACCAATACTGTATTTTTTTTTTAAATACGGATAAAAAAAGTTTTGTATGGAGGGAGGGATTGGGCGGGATAAAAAGGGCGGTTTATTAAAATTTTTTCTTTCGAATTTTTAACAATAATCAATAATTAATATTCTTTTAAACTCGTTAACCGTAATTGAAATATCATTTTATTGTTATGGTAATTTATCGATAGGTAAGGGGTCGGACATTCATTATTTTACGAAACTACTTATAACTAAAAAAATTACGAAGAATGAAAAGCTTGCATGAATATTTTGCTGAGAGGCTGATCTGCAATCAATAAAAAAATTGGTAAGAGGTTTGTTTAATTTCCATTTCTTGTCAATAGTTTATTGCTTATGCTTAAAGCATGAAAATTGTACATTGAGAGAACATGCATAATATCTAAGTCGAAGTCCAACCGCCAAATTGGAAGTGATATTATTGGAGCAGGGTTGATTTTCCTGAAACTGATACGGCCGCTGAGGTAGACCATTTTCTGAGCGGTGACCAACATGCGCTGAATTCAGTACCTATACGATAGGTGAATTCAGTACCTATACGATACTATACCTGAAACTTGTATCAGATGATCACAGTTAGATAGGTAAAGCCTGGTGCTCACGGACCAGGCTTTAGAAGAAATACTCGGCAACTTTATATTTATGTAAAGTTATATAAGTTATGTAATAAGTAATTAGGCGTTTATTCACTATTTGATGCGATATAATCGAGAGTTCAATCTCAAAATTACGAGTAATTTATCCGCGGCGCTAAAGATAAAATATTTTCACTAATAAGTACCTACCTACCTATTACCTACTTGTTGACCTTACGAAATAATTGTCGTCAACTCAAAAGAATGAAAGATTTGCGAAACAACAATTAAGCTTCCGTAAGACCTTGTAAATTAACTTCCGTGTTTTTACCTTATCAACATGGTTCATGTAAGAACCTAGGCGTAATTAAGTAGGTATTTTGATTTTCTTCTAGTTTTTTTGACTTCATGACTTTTATAATTATGCTGGAAGTCCGTAAAAACGTTGATGATTTTGCTTCCACACACGGATGTGTAATACCTAATAGATAAGATGGTATTGGGTGCGAACTCAGTGTCAGAGGGTTTGGAGAAAGCCGCCCGCGGAGGTCGGTTGGTGATGGCAGCGGCTTGGTGCGCCGGCGCAGCGCGGCCGCGGCGCAGTGCGCGCGCGTCGGTGAAAGGTGACATGTCGCGAGTACGAGTGAACGGCGCACGGACCGCCATGGCTAGCCTACCTTATAAGACGATACTACTTCTTATCTGTGCTATTCTCGGAAATGGTTAGTGAAATATCCCTATTTTTTACCAGTGCCACGCAACTGCTGCAGCGTTGTCGTGTACAGGAACAAAATCCAATGCAGCAGTTATTCATAACCTTATGCAAGCGATACGCCGATCAATTTGTTAACTTGTACGTAACTGTTACCGCGAAATGATCAGTGAAAGCTATTTGCAAGTTAGATACGAGTTTTGGCAGACAACTTTTAATGGGCGTATGTGAAAGTGTGAGAAAAGTTAATTCGTACGTGATTTTTTGGTGTATTTTTCATGTTTACCTTCATCATAGAAAGTATGAGTTAGTCGCTAAGGGACCTAAATGTAGGTCCTACTTAATTAGAATTCGTCGTGTACGTACCTATGTACTTCTTTCACTTGACATTGAGGTGTGCGACCGGTTCCAGTACGATCGAGGATATTGACTTGGCTACCTGCTAAGTTATTAATATCCTTACAGAAACCAGAAAAGTACTTACTCAAACATGATTGAATATCACATTCCTTTTCCTCCATTCCCTTCATAATAATTATAAAATAAGCTATAGGTAGATTTCTTTTCGCGTTAAGCTATTATTAAACTCATCGTAAATAACGTTACAACTTACAAGTTATGCATACAAACTTGATTCCGCCTGACCTGTCTTTTTGAGACTCAGTGCGCATACGTGCACGTTTCCTCCGAATTATCTAGTGCTACGTGCAATCATTACCTTGAAGAGAGGCGACATTTAACAATGATGTGAATTTTGGCCGATGATAACTATTTAAGGACAGATATACCTACCTTAAATATGCCTTTGTACTTTTGAAATTTTATGACATTGAACGCCTAAAATTCCAACAGAATTCTTAGTGCTTTAAGTGCGAAATGTTCAGTCGTGTTCTCTTGAAGTCGGTTAAAAAGCAATAAATTCCCCTTCATTCCAATAGATCCTTTATCTCGAAAGTCATTACCAAAAGTGTAGAATATGAACTGGAATTTTCTTAGGCTTATTTTTGGGTGCATGCACGTCAACAAAATGTATTTTTAAAAGACCTAATATCCATTTAATTAGGTACATCAGACTTCCTTCTTCTTCTAACAAATATTGTAAGTAGGCACATAATTAGGACCGTAATTTTAGAGATACCTCTCGTACTACATAAATTTTCGTAATTGTGTTAAAAATTGGGTAAATTGTCAAACGACACGATCACACGACAGACATTAAGCTTTTAGCAATAGGATATACATAGGTATGTATCCTAACTTAAGGTCAAAAACCGGTTTTAAGCACTGAATATTACCGCCGTACATATATTTACTAGTTACGTATGTGAACGGATACCTACCTACCATAAGAACCTGGATGACTATTCTCAAAACAAAATACAGGGATCTATTGAGCCAAATGCCAGTAATAGGAAAAAAATGTCAAGCCAATTCATGACGACGGCATCTTCGTCTCCATTCATCCCATTTTCCATCCACGTCGCTTCTGTTATTCACGAAATACGAATTGCTGGAACGCGATCCACACGTATTTATTAAAATATCGCCAATGCCTATTGAATCGCTCCCTTTTGTTTTAGGTAGGTATTTCTATAGGTACTCGCCTTTCAATAGAAACTAAAACAAGTGAAACTTTTAGTAACACACAATATTGCAAAAGTAATTTTATTTATCGACAGTTAGGTGAGATATGTTATCAAATTCAGTCTAACATTTGTCTAACAAAATGTAATTTTAACACATGTGATTTTGATCGTATTTTGACACTTATTTCCACGTTAGATTGGATGGATGGAAGTAATTACATAACCATGGCTATTATTATCTACTATCAGGCGAGTTATTAGTGCCACGCCACATCATAACTAAACTTATAATTATGAGAATACTTTACTTTTGCCTTTGACCTTTCGTCGACCGGTTGTCAATCGAGTTTTTATCAGAGGTGTTAAAGAATCGTGACTTCCTTCTAACTTTAATACGGGCCATTTAATTATGAAATCAAATGAATCATCTTTCAATCAGGACTACGATACATACTTTCACTTTCAGCAAGATATTGAATAGATCCAAATAAGAATTGAAAGAACATAGAGACTGTTACGATGATAATAGTGAATGCTATTTGCATTGTTATAAAACGTTATGCCATTTCGTTAAGCATATAAATTAATTAATTATGAATAGAACGTGATTCTTATTCAAATGTATATTAAATGATTATTAGGTAGAGTAAGTTTCAAATGGTAGAGTCCCAATTTCGAAAAATGTACGTAGTTTTCACACAACGTTTACGTTTAAATGGGCACCGATATTCAGTGGCGGCGCGGCGTAGCATGGGTTGGCACCCGGGGCGATCACCCCCCCGTCACACGTCCTATGGCACCCCCCAGGATTTTGGGTAACCCCAAAACCGATTCGAAGATTGAAAGACAATCGCACCCCCCACCCCCCCGTATCAATGCAAAGACCGCAGATTTGCCATGCAGATGTGCCAGTGAGTACTAATCTGCGCGATTTGTGTCACCCCCTGATGCTTGGCACCCGGGGCGGACNATGCAGATGTGCCAGTGAGTACTAATCTGCGCGATTTGTGTCACCCCCTGATGCTTGGCACCCGGGGCGGACCGCCCCCACCGCCCCCCCCTTACGCCGCTACTGCCGATATTACAGTGTGAGTCGGAGAATCAAACACACCTCCTCACAAATAGTAGTAATGCATAAATAAGTAAACCACATTTAGTTTTCATCACACAATCATTCAGTCTGTAATTTTGTTTAGATAACAACCTATGCCTTTTTAGTAGTAAAACTTTCGAATCACATAAAAGTAGGTAATAAATTTTCCGAGGAAGTTAATTGAACACTTTATAGTAGGTATGTATCTGTTACATAGTTCGTGGACTAAGTAATAGGTAGGTCATATAATATTACTCGTTTTTGTCGTCTATAAGCGTATCTTAAATTACATAAAATGAGATAGGTAACGCTAGCGAAGAATAAAATAACCATGACTTATGAGATAGTTTTTAAAATGAATACCCATGAGTTCAGAACATGAAACATATTCTAAACTCCTTAGCTAAATTTGAGAGGTTAAAACTACCCTTTATGGTTTTCAGTTAGTTGCCAGAAGGACAAGGACAAGGAGGAGGAGTTTGTTTGTCCAGAGGGCACGCAGGGCAACGGCAATTTTGCGGACCCTGCCACTTGCAGACGCTTCTACCAGGTAAGCACAAACTGCCCATTAATTATAATTGAATTGGCTCATTATAGGCACTTTAGGGCTTGCTTGTTAATAGTTTAACCTAGGATAATGGGTTGTTTACTTTACCTACATGTTGGTTTGGTGATCGACATTCAGTGACAATATACATAATATTTAAAGCAATGCAGTACCTACATATGATTACGTGTCGATGTTAAATCATATTTACATTAATATTTACACTGTATAGTTTTAGAGTAAGT